AGTGGACTAGATAGATCTGAAGGAAGGCGATCATCTTTTTTTCTCAGGCGCAACAATTTTTCGCATAGAGCAAACTTAGAGATTTTCGTTAGGCTTCTGTGCATCCGGTCAGGGCACATTACTTATACCTCTAAAGACTCACCCTTTCTATGCTAAACGATAGACATGTCTAATGATGAATGAAAGTGATGTGTCGCGTAGGAGTGTTGAACGAATTGGTGGAAAAACTTCTAACATGAGAATTCTTCACATTATATATACAAAAGAAAGACATTCAATGCTATGTGCCACAGAGGCACGCAATCAAATAATGAAGGAGAAAACATGAATCTTCGAGAGGTAACGTTTGAGAGAGACAAGAAAAATCACAGGAATATTTGGCTAATAGCAAGTGAGTTGTCTTCGCTCTCGAATTACATAATTATAACAAGTAGCAAATACGAAGAAAAGTCCGTTGAAAAGTTTAAAAAATGGAATGTATGGTTGTATTGATAACTCCGTTTCGTTTTTACTTTGGAGCTATGTTTTAATACCGGCCCTTCTAAGCTCCTTACTAAGGAGGGCCAAAGAGAACTATAAAAGAGAAAAGAACCAAGCTAAGTAATATCCTTGTCCGAACCATATAGTAGAATGGATGAAGAGGTTGTACGGTAATAGTTCTCAGTGATAGTCTGAATGTATGCAATTGCAAGTGAAAAGTGTAAAGATGTATCGTTCATTCGTTGACCGTACGGACTGCCGACCGCGTGGCGACTGCGACGCGTGCCTTCTAAATTGCGAAGAAGTGATAAGTTTGACCGTGGCTTAAGATGAGAAGAATTCTTTGTTTCTTTTCTACATTATAAAGATGAGAAGAATCCTCTGTTTTCTTTCTATTCATCTTTTTTACGAAAACATCATGCACGCGCAGCGGTCGCCGCGCGGTCAGCAGTCGTTACGGTCAACGAATAAACGATACCTATAAAGCATCCAGCTACATAGAAGTCACTACGGCAGCTTTCGATAAAGCGAATTTTGTGTAATTGCACCCTTTTTAGACCTGCTGAGGAGCTCAACGTTGGCAGTAAAGTAAATAGTTGAGGCCAGGTCACTAGTATATAAGGAAATTAGAGCTCAGTTACTGGTATAGGGGTCTGCAACACCACTTTTTCGACAACTGTCTAGGTAAGAACCGGTTTAATCTTGCATGCACTTTTGAGTTCCTGTTTTACTAATGCAATAGTCGCTTTGAGTCTTGAGGCGGTTTGTGATAGGATATATTACTTATGCATTCGACACCTTCATACTCTGAAGAAAGCGATATAGCCGAAAAGTTAGTCGAATAAAGAAGTACCAATTCCGGTCTAGAGCTCTACAAGCCCCAAACAAGCAACTTCACTATGCTAAGATCAAGTGACAGTCGAATGTAGACAATATCTATCTAATCTATCTATTTTAATTTTAATATATAAAGAATCGCAATTCAAAAATGTGCAAATAGCGGGAAACGGCGGCGGGGTCCCGAGCGAACACTCTTCCAAATAGCACCTTTAGACTACTGGTTCACCTAGTACAAATAACATGAAAACGATTGCGAAGATTAGAAAGAGATGCCGTTCATTCGGCTCGTCATGCAAATCAAAAAAGTGGTGCAATTACGTAGGTGACCGCAGAATGAGGACGTCTTTGTGTTGATTCTATACAAAACTGAGCTAGATTTTGACACATTTCTTGGTAAACATTGATACGAGGCGAATGAGTGCAAATTTGCCGAATCGCGTCTTTCTCGTCCGTGACTCGGGATGCTCCTCTCACTCAGTTTTGTATTTGCATTCGATGACGAATCCGCGCTTGATCTGTGACGACGCCCACCATATTTGACTTGAAAATAATCGCTTCAGTGTGCGATATCGTCGTCGGGCACGCAGGCGCCAACTAGCTGCCTGAACTCTGAATGGGCTCGACTTTACACCTTTCATCATATAAATACTATTGAAGTTTTCTCGTCAGATCAGTTACACCGCTTGCTCACACCTTCTCGAGCCTCTTGCTAAAATTTCTTGCGAATCTCTGCAGGGGAAGCCTTTGAAGTTTCATGATCTTACCCTGAACCGAACTTCAACATTTTAGACCTATGCTTAGTGTTTATCCGTCTATCTTTCATATGTTTGAGTAGCATAGAAGTGAACAAAACTCACGAATTTATGCATTTAGTGATCAAGTAAATCTATAGGCTCATCTTCTAAAATTTTATTCTAATAAAAATCGTCTCCTCATTTCCTTCCTTAGCGAACACCTTGCTATTTCCCCTTGCTATTCACTATTTTTCTGGTGAAACAAACCTCTAGTCATTTCAGATGTTTTCCATTCTGTGATGAAACACTCTAAGACTGCCATTTTGTCCCTCATTCCAAAAATTCTTGTAATTGTTGAGTTATTATACCAGATGGTTAGATGCTTACACATTATTGTAATGTCAAACCATTAACAAGTAACATTGAAAGAGCCATGTTCTTATCTATAAGCTATTACGAAATAACAACAGATAACCGCTGCTTCTCCTTGTAATGATTGCTGACCATTGTTGGAGAACTTTAACCTCTACTGCACAAGAATGTCCATAAAGATTTTTTCATTGATTTCTATAACATAAGGTTTGATGAAAAAATATTTGACTAAATCTCAAATCATAGGATATCAGCCATCTTCGGTCTACATCTATTCTTTGATGTCTTTGCGGTAACAATTACGGGATAATAACAGCTTTGCTTAGAATGCTCGTATAGGAATAGCTATTTGTAATATTTTTCAGCTATTTTTTCGGTAACTGAATAACATGTGCCCAACTTTAATCAAAGAAAAGTCAAAATATCTATATTATTTGTTTACAGGGTTTCAAAGTTTTTTAAAAGCCCTTGAAAGCTAGTTGAGACAACGCTCTGTATTGTCAGAATTTACGTTAAAAAGCTCTGGGACTGTCAGCGACGGATAGCTTGGGTAATCACGTGAAGTATATGTTAATGCAAAGGATAGTTTTGTGAGCTCAATTCAATCAGCCGAAGTACGCTCTGGTGAAAAATTCTATAGCTGAAACCTCTTCACCAACATAAATCTAAGAACTTTGTTGAGAAAATTCTCCGAAAAGCCGAAAGGTCATTTCAAGACGAGCTTATCACAATGTCAATCTGGTATTAGTAATAACGACCCTAATGCCATGCTTCGTTCGTATCACGCTACTTGGTTCCATAGACCTCTAATTCACTGCTCATTTTCTTGTTTCTGAGTCAACGTGTTAGCTATGAGTCAGAAAATACTCATTTCTATTTTTGGTTATACTCTCGCTCCTTTCAACTCAGTGCGGAGCTTTTTTTGAACGGCACAAAGCTTTTGAAAAAACCATGCATTCTGTTTTCTTCGCACAAAGTTTTTGAAAAACCACGCATTCTGTTTTCTTCTCATCTTTTTTGTTTTGCGAATTCTTTATTATCTTGATTCATGATTATAAAATCGTTACGGTTTGGATAAAGTATATCCGCCACTTTCATAGATAGTTGTCTGACAACTTGTTAAGCATCAGAACTCTAGACTTCCTTCAAAATACATGTCTTTAGAGAAGCACAGAAACTTTTAGGGAAGCACTGAGAATTATACAGCTATGAGAGACATCGATTATATGGCTTGCGTGTTAACTTCACACTCAAAACTTTCCAAGCCACTTTGGATCAAAGAAAGAAAATTTTTCTAAAAAGTGATACGTCCACCCTTCCAGACGAGTTCGCAAACAAGCAAAGTAAAGCAGCAAAGTAAACAATATGTAAGCAGAAAGGCGTCATTCAACTCATCGTATGCTCTCTTCCTCTTTCATATTTTTTTCGTACTCTCTCAAAAGCGGGCAACAGTACAGGATCTGAAATTTAGCTTGTTGTGGGGGAGCAATTTATTCTAAATGCTTTTGCGAACATATTCGTTACATTTGCTTTTAGTTTTCGTTTGCAGTGCAATCCAGATAAGAAAGAAGATCAACGAAGGGAAGGACATGAAATTCAAGCGATTTCAGTATTAAAAGTATTGTACTAATTTTGATTGAAACAAACTTCCTAATCAAATATGTTATCGAATAATGTTCCAAAAGAATCTCTGTTGTCAGTCTTAAAGGCACCGTCCATCCGGATTCTCGACTTCCGAGTCTTAGTCGTTCCGGGGTCTTCTCGCATCCCTGATTCCGAATATGAAGTCGAGAATCGCAAAAACCTTAACAATCCCCGTTCAAGGAGAACGCGCAGGACGGTTCTGCGGAGCGGTGATTGGATGGGCGCGCACGGATGGGCTGGCATTACTGGAAGGGCGTTGCCGTCTTGGGGTCCCCGTGTCATGTCATTCGCTATTCCAAAGCGTTATTCTCTCTTCCTAAGTGAATTTTTTTCCTAGACGCTTCCTAATTTTGCGCCACGACTTGGGCATTGACCTGATAGGGGGCTCTACTATAGTAAGCTGTCAAAAGCTCGGGAGACCTAACTTAGGGTGGACGCCTTTGAAGATGTAAATGTTAGCGCTGCGCGAAAGCTTCCCGAGATTACAAGTCCGCAAGGAAACCCATTTATATGAAGAAATGCGATGACACTTTTGCAGATTTTGCAAACTTGCACAACAGTTTTTTTTTCTTGTGCAGCTTTTAGCTTACGTCATACCTGAGTCACAGATGAATAATTTCTCAAACACGATCAATATTCTAATGTAAACTTTGCAAAAAAGGATAAAAACCCTGTTTCGTCATATAAGGTATGGGTCATGATAAAGTTTCCAAAGATGCTTCAAGATTTGTTGAGAGTAAATGTACTATGATGGGGTCCCACATTGAGTAGCAGAAAGAATTATGTGTATAGTTTCCTATTCTTTGCTCTTTTTTTTCAATTCTTGCATGCAAACTTTCCCAGACCAACGACGACAGAGTTTTTCGAAGGCATTTCCTTATCTCTGCACTTACGACGTTCGTCGATTAGTCATCAGTTTACTGCTGGAATTCTATTTATGCCTTGGAAGGATTCCTCGAACGTAATCCTTTTGACCTAGCATTTGTCAAGCCGAACAACATGCCGATAAGTCCTCTACGACCCGCTTCTTATCAACTTATACAGGAATCGATTATTGTACTTCTACTGATACTTCTATCTACTGTTCAAGCTACCGAACACATTCTTCGACTACAGGGTGAGCAATGTTCCACTTCTAGTTTTGCTTTGCACAAAAATGCTTCTTCTAATAGCTTTCGCTACCCAACTTTCCCTGTTATAAGTATTTAAGGACCTTCTGTCGCTCCAGATCCACCAGCAAACGCTATACTCATCTCAGTACCGGTTAATTCGAGTATTGTGTTGAAATGTGAGAGATCGTCCGGTTTACCACAAGCTCAATGGCTACACAATGGAAACGATTTGGATTTAGAAGTGATACGAATGCTGAACGATGAGTAAGTTGTAGCAATAAAGAGAATTCTCTCCATATGCACCGTTTATTTCCAGATATACATCTTTAGTGATTGACCCTTACAGTACCAAATCTCATGATGGCGTGTACGAATGCTACGCGGTGAGTCTGAAAAATTGTTGGGGTTTTTCCAACTTTGATCTCAAAATATACCGAAATATACGCATAAATCTTGGTATCTGGGAGTTCCAAGTGGAAACTCTAGCCCAAACCGTACTCTTTACGCGCGGACCAGTCGCTTCAACTCGCTAGGTAATACCGTTTGCTGGAGTCTACCGATGAACTTCCCACCCACGAATAAATCATATGGGTAGCCTTTTGGACAGTGGCTTAAATAAGGCCTCTCAATCAATTTTCTGATTAGCAATCCGGTGAATTTGACTGGAACCATATAATATCAAAGGAAACTCTAGCTAACATGTTGTGATGAGTCATAGGGTGTTGCTTTAGAAAAGCTGATAGCATTGACATTGGTGTAAAATTTTTTGGTGGCTCAAACTAAGCATTTCTTGATAATATGTATGTCATGATTTCGTCTTAGTCGATATTACTGGGTGTGCCCCAAACAACATTTAATTAAAGCATGTTAAGTGTTTCAAAGAGGTCCTGAAAGTCGTTTAAGCAAAGGAGAATTTGGTAGTTGGGATCTTCAATCTTATCATTTTAAAACTGTTATAGAACTTAAATGCAAAAGATGTCGCGAAATCGCGATATCTTGCCTCAGTATCATATATACTTTTAAGAATGTTTTCTCGCCCACAAGGCAAATTTTGTTCATTCAATTACTTACAGGGTTCTGCCTCTGCCTCACTTCGGCTGAGAGGTGAAGACATAGTTGTATTACCTTCTGGATTCCGATTTTGTCGTAAAAGTGAGAATTCTGCATGTGACCATGCTAGGGCATGCATGGCTGATGGCATGGGAAGAACTAGCTGTGTGTAAGTTTTTCTACATTCTTTCTACATTCACGCATGGATAAGAAACCTAATTTGTACTTGAAAATATAGAAATTCTAAGACTTCACAGTCTAGTAGATTCCTCCCAATATAGTGCGCTTGCGGTGCCGAGGTTATGCGGTCAAATTTGAGAGTAAGCAAAACAGGCATATCAATGATGCCGGCATGTTGCGCGCGCAAGTGGTCGGCATTACGTGCGTAACTACTTATTTACGCGCAATTTTGACCGCCCAATCTCTGCACCGCAAGCGCACTATATTGAACAAGAATCTACTAGACTGTACGGGGCTAAATATTTTTAGCCTGACGAGGTGTTAGCAGCTAATACTCCACAAAAAAGGATGACTCAATCATTTTTTTCTAACTTTATTACCTTCTTTGCTCAGGTGTTATCCTGGATGGAGTGGTGAGTCATGCAATATTCCAAGAGATATCCAAAAAGCAAATCTCATCAATGTACCAATCTGTTCATACTGTGAGTAAGCAAACATTGATCTAACATTTTTTATATGTGCATCAGCAAGATGGTCCATTATGTACTGGTACAGTTTTAGGGCCTCCAGTCATTACTCTGATGGTATTTACGCTCTGTGTTTTCATACTTGTAGTGTGCCTTTACAATTTTCGGATACGAGTAAGTCAACTTTTTATACATTTATTTTTTGAGAAAGACAGCTTTCAAATCGATCCTTTTCAGCCGGCCAAACATTCAAAGACGTTGCACTGCCAAAATTGCAAGTAAGTTTTCTCAATGTCTGATCTTAGAATATTTTATTTTTCATAGTAATCGTAATAAGCTCGAGTTCAGGTCACACACCTACAATCTTGTCAAAACAAACGATACGAAAGAACAACCAGAAAAATTAGATGTCTAATCTCAAGATACTTCGAAATACGTGTGAATCTACCCAAAGGTCCAGCAGATTTCTGCAAAATTGGTGCAGTGGAGATTTTCTATTTGCTTTGAAAGTTATTGTGCTTCTCCTACTAGTTATTTACTCCTAGTCAAACACGCTCAAGCGGGGTCTGCGAATAATTTTTGAGTCAGAATCTGAACAGCTTGTTAGTAATATGAAATCTCAAAAATTCTGAGTTATCACATTTTTTTCTTTGTGAAATTTTCATGTATTGTATCAAATCATATGGTTGATACGTTAAAGGTGTAAGAGCTCGATCTCGAATACGTGTTGCTCTCAACATGACTACTTGTATAATTGTAACTTTTAATGTTTGCATAATAAATGGATTGTGAAGAGTCAATGTGGAAATTAGTGCTTTATGAAATAGAACACAGGGTGCCAGTGGCGCGTCGAGCCCCCCCCCCCCCCCAAGAATGGGTTGCGAAATTTTCGAAAGTTTCTTATTTAGTTATAGAAATCCGCAAGCGACTTGTTTGTACTTGTAATAATTAATATGATTTTTAGAATTTTTTAGAGATCCAATTTAGCCTTATAAAAAAATTTTCGGGGGCGTTTCGGAGTTATGGGTCCGGAAAAATTCGAGGAATCATGTCAAAAATTATTCGGAGTGGATGGTTGGCGCCAACTTCACCAGGAAAGAATTTTTTTCGCCCCTCCCCAGCCCCCCCCCCCCCCCCCCCCCCAGACCGAAATGGTACGCCACTGCAGGGTGGATATGCAAGTAATTCAATTATTACTCACTATTTTCTTCTCACCGTTGCTAGATTATGTGAGCGGCTGTGGTTTTTCATTGTTGGCCCACGTATTTTAGCATCTCAGCTTGAATTTTTGAAGAAATCCTGGAACTGCAGAACTAATCATGCAAAGCCTTTATCTGGCTAAATATGACCGCAGATTTCATGCTGGCCACGATTGTAGGGACCATGCGATGTCTGTTAACTGTGAATCGATATTTCACTCAAAATATATAGGTTTCCGACCTGAGGGTTCCTTTCGGCGCGGCTCGGGTTCTCGCAAGCCGTCTCGCTTGGGTCTCCGCCCTCAGGGGAATCTCCTGAGGGGATACGGTATTTTCCCGCTGAGGCGAGGAAATACCGTATCTCTGGGCATTAATGGCTGACGACCTTGGAAAAGTGTTCCTAGGTACGTCCGCAAGCGCGTCGCGTGGCGCAGGTGAGGTGGCCCGCGAGGACCCGAGCCGCGCCGACCATGACACTCATATTGAAATTCCTATAAGTTCAGCATTCTTTATTGAAATGCACCCCCCCCCACCTCTTCTCTGCCATGTTTTGAATGATGCACACATCAATCTTTCTGAAACACTAGAGGACCATACAGTCGAATCATTTCATATGATCATGTATGCATTGCACACACCGTCAACCTTTCGCGTCCTCATCCTGGATTTGCAATCGGAAAAACGCAGGGATTGGCTTGTTGGCGCTTACGTCAATTTGAGGGTGATTAGTACCTAAAAGGAAAGAAATCGAGAAACATCGAAAACAACTAACCTAAGAGTTGCCTCTTCCAAAAATCCAAGATGGACACGTCAAAGGCGGACAGTGTGTGCAATGACACACTTGATCATATGAAATGATTCGACTCTACCTCTCAAGAGCGACTATACCTCTCGTACTTGCAGCAGTAAATCGAGACTGACTTACCCAGTGTAATGCGCATAGCGCATTATTTTAACAGTGCCCAAGGAAATCCCCAAATAAGAACTGGGGAGCAGTAATGTTGACAGCCGAAGTCATTTACATCGTGGGGAAAATTTAACCGTTCTTACACGAAGGAATCCGTAAAAAGATTTTTTGCCTAAATTCGTATCGGAGAAACTGGATAGAGACCAGGGTAGGGCTAAAGGTTGTGGAGGTTAAGAGCGATGAACTTTGAGGCTGTGTAGAAAGTTGACAGCGTAAATAGAAAAGTTATTCGCGACGTTTAAATTTCGTGCATCATCAGCTCTCGCAGACCTTTAACTAGCTTATTGAAGGGCTCGCTCCAACGTAGGTGAGAAACAAATTACGATTTACTCGTCATTACTCCAGAATTACGGTAGGAACCTCTAGCGATGTCACTGCAAGTAGGCTGCCATTGGGATTTCCAAAAATGTCTGGAAACATTCAAGGTTGAATTCCTAGACTCGCTGATTCTAGCAAACAACTTTGTACATGTTTGTGGAGCAGTTTCAGTTCGATTAGTATGACAGAACTTTGAGTATTATTTAACTAGAGATTTTGGTGGATCAAAAAGCTTAATCGCAGCAACAATGCTGATTTATTGAAAAAAAGTCACAACTCTGTGCTCATTGGTTACTCTCTTGAATGTCCTTACCGTAATCCTAATATAGGAAAAGCGCGAATATCTGCGCCATTGGTCCATCTTCCCTCGCACCACCTCAGGCTATATAAAGCAATATGCTCCGCCCACAGGAAGGTCCGGACTTGAGGCAGCTTCGCCGCTGCCTCTCCAACAAGACCGCCTCCGAATCTCCGAACCCTCCCCTCATTTAATCTCCCCCTCTCTATTTCAATTTGATGTCTTAATCCTATGTCTATTCCATATTGTTCCCTTCGTATAATCGCTTTGTATTTATCCGCCTCTTTCGTACAGCCGTACCTATGGAAGGTTGAGCCGGAGCACTAGCTCCTGCTTGACTAACTTCACCTTGCACCCGCTTGTCATTTATCCTTCCCTATGCTTGGATACATCCATACACTCATGCCGCCCTCTTATTCGCCGTTTGCAGTCGTGACCTTTCATGTAATGTTTGATCCCTTAATGCACAAGCTTACAAGGGAACGATACTTGGTGTCCGCGGCCTTTTGAGATGAAACGTATACCATCGCACTCGTTTTGGAACGCTGATTCCAAATCTGACTTCCTTTTCTGCTAATCGTTTCTCTGAAAGAAGTTATGAAGGATTTTCGCGCCAATGGTCGCCTAAGAGAAATGCGGCCGAGGATGCCTAACTTTCAAAAAAAAAAGCTTGATTGAGGCAATGCAAAACTGTAAAATACAAAAGGACTCGAACCTAAGCCTACATTGAGTTACGAGGCTATCGCACTAGCCACTACACCACATCTTAGCAGCGGTTTTGGCATTCCGAACACATCTCCTTTGACGCAAAAATCCTTCATAACTTCTTTTAGAGATTGATTAGCAGAAACGGAAGTCAGATTCGGGATCAGCGCTCCAAGATGAGTGTAATGGTATGCAACTCATATCAAAAGGCCACGGACACCAAGTATCGTTTCTTTGTTAGGGTGCCTTCATACCGCGCCGGCAGCCGCCGCTAGCAGCCCGTAGCAGCCCGTAGCAGCCGCCAGCAGCCCGTAGCAGCCGCCAGCAGCCCGCAGCAGCCGCCGGCAGTCCGTAGCAGCCCGTAGCAGCCGCTGGCCGCTTTTGTTATAGAAGCGCAGAATCATTGGAGTACTACTTTGAGTGCTCTGCTACGCTGTTCATCTTCCTTGCTTTTTCCTCTATCGCCGGCCAGTGGATAGTTTGATCTCTCGCATCATATTTGTGTCCATTTCATTACTTTGTCGCCCACAATTCGCTGAACGTTCTTTCCTGGGTGGTTTCCTCTGACTCTGGATGCGTCCAGTTCCTGCAGATGTGTAATTTGTTTACTTTGAGTAGGCTGTTGCTTCAATCTTCTTCTTGGCTATCGGTGCATATCTGAATTGCATTCCACTATTTCGCAACTCGCCGATTGATTCGCGGTATGGGTTCCTCTGACTTTAACAATGGCTCACATGTTTTACACAAGACAGATTGCAAAATTGAAATGTGGGCACAGATAGGATGCAGTGTGCGTCAATAGAACAATGAACACAAATGTAATATGTGTTTTTTTTCATTTTTGAACTACACATTGGCGGTAACAGAAGAAGAAGCGTGAAAGATGAAAAGCGTAGGCAGGAGCAGTCAAAGTATTGAGATTCTGATGTTTTTGCGCTTCTATAACAAAATCGGCCAGCGGCGGCTACGGGCTGCTACGGGCTGCTACGGGCTGCTACGGGCTGCTACGGGCTGCTGGCGGCTGCTACGGGCTGCTACGGGCTGCTAGCGGCGGCTGCCGGCGCGGTATGAAGGCACCCTTAGTGAGAAAGCCTCGATCTAAACCCCACATGCCAATCATGAGAGAATAGGAAATAGCGTTTGGAAAAGACCAGCTACGGTACCACTCTCATAGCTTAAAGGCAGTACATCGGCAGATTGAGACCCGTGACAAAACAAGGTCACAGGGTAGGAGCCCCCATATGGAACCTATCGGCCAAAGTCCGATCTTTCTCTGCCACTTCTAACCCCCGAAATTTCAAAACGAAAGCAGTGCTCATCTCCTCTCCTCTCCGAACCCGCCTACCCCATGGACGACTGACTTCCGCGGTCAGAGCGCCAGCCGCAATGCTATAAGCATGAGGTCCCGCAACGACTCTGCGTCTTCGCCATGACGGGCTTCGCGTTCACTCGTCCATGGGGTGGGCGGGTTCGGAGAGGGCAGGAGATGAGCGCTGCTTTCGCTTTGAAATTTCGGGGGTTAGAAGTGGCAGAGAAAGATCGGACTTTGGCCGATAGGTTCCATATGGAGGCTCCTACCCTGTGACCTTGTTTTGTCACGGGTCTCATTCTGCCGATGTACTGCCTTTAACGACAACATCCAAACATAAATTCGTTACACTACGGTGATAGAGAGCGATGATTATGATCAGTGATTCGATCTGTGGTGGGGATCTAAGCTGAGTCCAGCACAACAAAGTAAGCAAATTCAAGTAGATGATACACTAGATATTGTGACGATCTGGTCAAATGGAGTGTATGTCGAAAGGCGCGTGTTTCGGCAGTCGTCATTGCCAGAAAGGATTTGTGCTCTACAAAAGCGAGGTTTCCAAACTCCAAAAATTTTGTCATCTTACCAGAAATAGAAACGGAGGTTTCGTAGTTGAAATCCCGGAAGTAGCAAACTAAATTTGAACTTTTTTTACTGCTCCTTCTAATTAGTGACGATCGATCAATACGCGCCATTCGACCGTCTCCCGGTCAAATGAATGGAGCCTACCGATATCCTAAGAGGAAACTAAAGTACTCCAAATTGGACCCAATAAATTTGAGTACTCATATCAGCTTGAGAGCAAACCAATTAAAATTGTGGATGAGATGACTGATCTGGGCTTCTTGGTTGATAACAAGCTCTCATTCAAGAAACATAGTGCGAAAATTGCTGCCAAAGGAATGGCCGCGGTGCAAATCTGTTTAGAGCTCTAACAACTAATGATATGGAGGTCTTGATCAGAGCATATAAAGTTTATGTTAGACCCTTACTCGAATATGGTACAGTTGTATTCAATCCCTCCACATATATTGCTAGCCATGAACTAGAGAGAGTCCAGAACAGCTTCACCAGAAAGCTAATGATACGCAAATCAGGGTTCTTATATAGTCAGTTCCCGTGCTTCAGGCTTCGTAACAGAAATTTGGTTTGGAAAGCTTAGAAAGAAGGAAAAAGTTCGGTCTTATCATGGCACACGAAATATTAATTGGAGGCTGTCGAGTTAATCCAAGTGACTTTTTTGGACGTAGGAACTCAGTAACCAGAGGTGATCCAAACAAAATCGTGCGCTTTAGAACAGAAGGAATGTGGGGAAGAATTTCTTTGTCAAAAGAGTTAGCCTTGATCTTGATAAACTTATTAGAATGCGAATGCTCCCTGTAAAACTTTCTCACTTCAGAGCAGTCCTCAAGAAGAGCAGTCTTCAAGGACTACCTACTTTCTTCCTAGAATACCTCTTAATTGATGTTGTTGCATTTTCCATCTCGCTTTATACCGAGTATAGTTGTTGTTGTCGTTTTTTTTCCTCGTTGGTGTTCTTTTGTTGCTGTTTACTTGCAACTTAACATAGGTTATCCTATGTAATAAATAATAATACACTAGACTTGTTAGCGGTCAAGAATTCATAACATTCATTAATTCATAACACCTTTTTGGGGCATCCAGATTGTAGCCTGTGGCAAGTCCCTGACTGCGGGAGATGAAGAGCACGCGCGAACGGACGCTTGTCCCGCCACGAGTTTCTGCGATGGTATTTGCCAAAACAAGTATTATACACTTACTTTGTAAAGGAAGCTCGTCTGCTTTGCTATATGACATTCTGGAGCTTCTCCGCTTTGTTTGCGTTGGCGGTAGACTTGACATATGCAGATGCAGCTCGTGTTCTGACACAGGAGGAATGGGATATGCTTCAAGGTGACTTTTACAGTCATTGAATTTCACAAAATAGCTTATTTTCAGCATCTTATGTTTTCCCCAATAGTACCATACTTCTACATAGTGCGATATTTACTGCGGTTGTATTACTCCTACTCTATCCGCCAGATGCTTTTGTAGGTGAGTTGGTAATTTCATTAGTCAATCAAGAACTTCTACAATTTTCCTTTGTCCTTTCCAGGTGCTGGCATTACTTTCGACAATTTAGCATATGGATTTTTGGGTTTATCTGAGTTGAGTTTCCTGGATTTTTATTGCCGGAGAGTTGTAATGACTACAGCATTTGTGCTGTGTTTACCATTCTGTGAGTCCGTCATTTATTATTCCCTTTCAGTCTGATTATGTCTAAAATTGAATAAAGCTACTTATTGGTAGCCGGGATGTATCCTAGTCAGTTTGGGATAAATCATGCTTTATGTTTCATTGAGCAGTAATATTCTAATCTTAACATGTCAGAAGTACTTCTGTTTCAAACGTTTTCATTGATTCAAGCTTTAAAAAAGAATAATCTAATCCGTTTTTTGAAAGCCCTCTGTTTTTGCAGTGGGCTTTCTTTTAGTCTTCAGAGTATAGAAGACCACTCTGTGTATCTTTGAAATTTTGAGCTAGACTTTTGCTTTCAAACTCTATCCAGATAAATTTAAGTGGAGCAAGCCGAATTTAGCCAAATTCCACTTTCTTTGTCTCTAACGTCCGATTTTGATTTTGATTTATGTATAACGGTCATTCCTGAAGTTTATGTACTTTTCAGTTCTGATGTTGAGCCTTTTTTTCGCTCAAGAACATGCCGTCGTTTTCACTGTTCATCCTTCTCGACTTATTCACTATGTGGCACTAATTTCTCCACTTCTTGCCCTAGGTGAGTTTGTCTTAAGGCACGTACTTCTTATGGGGTGGTCTTAGCTGATTCTCTCAGGCGCTTTTATCTATATCCTCTACCATATCACAACAAGTTTTTGTTCACTTCCCGCTATGAAGAAACTGAAAACTTACGGATACGATGCTGCCCAAGTGTTCACCAATCTGTCGGGCGAATTTATTCGTATCGATGCATTCAGGCATTCCATTTCTAGTAAGTTATTGCATTGCGGTTGTCGTTCAGCTGCTGTGTCTTCGCTTTTCAGATGTTAGCAGACTTGTGATCACAGATTCTTGGTTGTTTCACTGTTCGAGATTCAATTTTGTCGTCGTAAAGCTATCGGATGTGCGTTTCCGCGTAATTAACGCTGAGGACACTATGGTATGTGAATAAGCGTTCTGCTTTTCTGTGCTTCTGGGAATGTGTAACTTTTGTTTTGTTTTGGAATATTGTGGTCACTGAGTTTCATTCAGAATATCAGCTTTCTGCGGATTTGCAATTTTTTCGTATTTCCACCGATCATTGAGCGTCGAAATCATCAAAGCTTCCTTTTATCATCTATTGCTTTTCGAAATTATCAATCTTCATCGTCCAGACAACATTGTTGTACCCGTTTTGGATAATGTAGAATATATATTTTCTGAGCATCAAACTGTAAATTTGATATATTGAATTATTTGTCGAAGGTACTAGCTTCATGCGAAATTTTTCAGAATAGTCTCCACCAAGCACTTGGCATGAATCAGTATTTGACTGTGGCTGTTTCGTTGCCAGACGATATCAAATATATGGATTTCATCTTCAAGTATGTTACTTCTCAAATTCACATTGTCATGTATTTCCGCAAATTTACAAGAATTACATTTAGAATTGACAATGTGTCCATGCGTGATCTGGAATCAAAACTCGGTCAGGATAGAATTGAATTTTCTACTGAAGTTCGGCTTAAGATGTCACTCACAGACAAGTTTATTCAGGTACGGTTACGAATCTGGTCATTTTTGTTTTGCTAGTACTGTGTGTTTAGGCCTTTTTGGATCAGGCTAAAAAGAATCCACGTTACCATCGCTACGTAAAAGAGGTAAATGAATAGTTGTTTTATGTGATAAACGTCACATGTAATTTGTTTAGGATCTTGAACCGTGTCTAGGTTGCTCGGAAAAGCTTTCCAACGTCAAACTATGGCGGCAGTGTGATGTGTTAGGTTTAGTCGCTGATGAAAACTTGCCAAGGCCAGCATGTATGCCATGCCAATGTCGCCCAATGTGGTGAGTGTCCTTTAATAATCTTCTTTGGTGTTAATTAATTTTATTCGGCCGTTTATTCGTCTATTATTGTTGATTTGACGCTTATATCAATGTTATTTGACTTTTTAAGGTGTGTTTCTTGCATGGCTAGAATCTTTCTTGCTAAACAGGACCAATCGACTCCTACTCGTTGGTTGGAAGGGACCTGTCCTTGCCCAACTTGCAGGTTTGTTATTAGGTACCCATCATATTATTGCTTGTTCTTACAAAGATGTATTTGACCATGAATTTACATGCAAAAGCGGCTAAATACCTCGTAAATATAACCCATGTATTTTGTTCCTTCCAGAGCGACATTTTGTGTTATGGATGTCGCTCTTCTTTCCTACTATGATGAGGAAAATCATGATCCCGTTGCCGTTGAAGACGTGGAGCAGTAATCTTAGCATTGCTTAGCTTTCTATTTTTCAACTGTTTGTAAATGCTGATGTCTAGTGATGTCTCCAATCCGGGTTCGGTATTTCATTGCCAAATTATTCACTTTGTTTTTAACCTTTGCCAGTTTGCACTTACTTTGACAGGTATCAAAGCATAGTAGCAACAAAGATAGCCATAATGCCTTACGATTACGAGTTGTACAAACAAGATACTTTTCCTAGGAGAAACACTAGATTGTTACTCATCAATGAGTTCATTAACATCCACTAAAGAATAAAAATTTATGTTGGTTTTTTCAAGGATGAACATGGTCTTTCATCTATTGGTAGCAAATTCTAATGTTCTTATTTTTTTTAGAGCAAAACCTGATAGTACTCTGAAGATAAACATACTCAGTCCACTTCGTCGCAAATTCAGATTTCATTATTTCAAAAAGAGGGCTAGGGGGCAGCAACGCGGCGTAAGGATTTCTTTACAAAGCTAATTCGATTTTCAATCTTTTCAAAAATCATCTTGATCAATCACAAGTAAGAGCAGTACTTCAGTACAATTGTTATGTCAAAAATAGAAGTTTTCAGAAGCAAAGGGAATGCAATATGGCTTATGACGACGTTGAAACAACGTAATGAGCAATCCTGCTTATGACTCTTTTTCGATGATGAGTGACGGCCTTCAGATGTATAACAAATTCGAATTTTGTTATGTAGTGCTGCAAAACACATATTTAACAAAGGCGTATATATGCGTCAGCAAGGTCCCTTCCTGGGAGAAAGCAGACATTGCTGTACAACAATTCACCAAAAATTCAGTCTACGTTATGCTTTCGGCAGCGAACTGTCTCCTACTGGTAGTCTCGGCATGGGCTATAGTGAGTGCGTTTTTATTTGTTGACCAGAAGAGGTGTCTTAGAGTGTGTATATTACGTGAATACTAGTTCTTCAAACTTCCATGACAACACTGGGCAACAGTGCTGGCATTTTTCAATGTAAGAAGTGCCTTGAGTAGCAAAAGGATATAGAAATCAGAAAAGTAGCATTGCTCAGTCACAAATTAGTAAAAAAAAGTTCATTCTTGACCTGTGCGTATCAAATGTATTGACTGTATAATCGTTCCAGGAAGAAACAATAACGAAGTGTACACTATATTCTCCCTTTTTTTCGAATGGCTCAGCTTTAGCGAAGATTTTGAATTCTTGGAGTGCGGCTCAAATGTATAGTCCCCATGAGTGCCCCCTCCCCCTTGACCGACGCCCAAAATATGCAAATCATAGCCTTTCACAGAGAATTAGAGAGACATTAGTTACAGTTGATAAGTTCTGAAGATGCCACACATGACTACAATACTTCAAAAAATGCATCTGAAAATTCGAAACCGATTGCTTCTTATGCTTCCATGCAAGGTGGACAAGTATATAATAATGCACAAAATACTGCTGAGGTAGACTTTTCTCAATCTAACAAAATCACTCGAAGTGCTTGCACAGAATTTACATAGTACAGCTTATTTTAGAAAAGTATGAATCCGTGGCCTGTAAACTCCCAAAACTATCAAAATGCTCCATATGGTCATATACGCTTTCCATACCATGCGTTTAATGATAGGTTTCCTGGTTTTTCAGATCACGGTAAGTTCATAAGTATTTGTATCCTGCAATAAACAAATTCTATTCAGGGAATGGTGGAAGTCGTTCTTATAGTCCTTACCAAAGTCCGCAAAATCCTTCTCAATGGCCTCAAGGCTTGCAAACTTTATTCATATCCTGCAGACAATATACAAATTCTATCTAGGGAACGGTGGAATTCCTCCTGCTAATCCTAACCTACAATTGTCTTTTTATTGTTATAAAGTTCAGCCAGGTTGCACTTGTAACCTTGATTCATATCCTGCAAGAAATGTTCAACTTTTATTTAGGAAACCGTATAACTTCTAAGAAACCTTACCAAGGGCCGCAGCTTCACTGTTATCGATCAGGTATATGTTCGCAATTGCAGCGTGAATTTAAATCCTGCCAGCAAGATGTTCAGAAAACGTTCCATGGCCACAAGGTGGCCCTTAACAGCCTCCAAGTTCGCAACTGGCTAAACTTACATTCTTTGAGCAAATTACAATTCCGTTCAGGAAGCGGTGGATTTCCTATCAACAATCCTCACGCCCAGCCGTCTTTATATTGTTATTTCTGGACACCAGGTTTCAGTCGCAACCTAGTATATAATCTTCGATTTAAGTGGCTTGGCGGCTGGAAGGCGGGGCTTTGTGACCTAGCTGAGGCTGCTCGCGCCCGCGACGCAGTCTGCGTCTCCTTCGCGCGCGTGTTCTCTGATCATTACGTAGCTTTAATTAAGTCACGAAGCTCCGCCTTCCAGCCGCCAAGCCAGTTGAATCAAAAGGTACAATATACTGTAATCAGCGTACAGATTTTGTTCAGAAAACGGTAGAAACTCTTCCAATAATCGCCAGCCGCTTTTTTACTGTTATAAATGGCCATCAGGTTCACAATTGCAACTCAAATTTATATTCTACTAGCAAGATCAAATTCTGTTCAGGGCAATCCAGAGGTCCATGGAATCTAGTAGCTCCTCTGCCACCAGGTTCGTGATTGGAGCTAATTTTTCTGCAATTGATTTTGTCCATTAAACCTTCCAGGGTCAGAAGTTCCTACTCTGCCACCAGGTCCGCAATTGCAATCCAAATTTTTATTCTGCAAACAATTTACAAATTCTATTCAGTAAGCCGTCCATTGCCAGAAAGCTCTACTCAACAACCAGGTCCGCAATTGCAACCTAAATTTACATTCTGCAAGCAATTTACAAATTCTATTCAGTAAGCCGTCCATTGCCAGGAAACTTTACTCAGCCACCAGGTACGCACTTGCAACCTAAATTTACATTCTGCAAGCAATTTACAAATTCTATTCAGTAAGCCGTCCATTGCCAGGAAACTTTACTCAACAACCAGGTCCGCAATTGCAACCTAAATTTACATTGTGCAAGCAGTTTACAAATTCTGTTTAGTAAGCCGTCCATTGCCAGAAAACTTTACTCAGCCACCAGGTCCGCAATTGCAACCTGAACTTATATTCTGCAAACAATTTACAAATTCTATTCAGCAAGCCGTCCATTGCCAGAATACTCTACTCAGCCACCAGGTCCGCAATTGCAACCTAAATTTACATTCTGCGAGCAATTCACAAATTCTATTCAGGAAGCGGTGGAGTTTCTCCGGTGGATAGCAAACATGTTTTCAATTTCAACTCTAATATAAACTCCGTCAATTATGTAAATAACATTGCACTTGATAGCACTGACCGCTATAACTTGCTCAGGGTTCACTCAACATCGCCAGTGGAGTTTTTCCATGGAGTCAATTAATCAACCACACAATGCCACAAAATCTCGGAATAAATGGGCAAGAAAAACAGCAAAAGGGATCAAAGACAGACTATACAATAGAAGTCAAGATCCCGCTACTAGAAGCACTTTTCCCGCAACTACAAGCATTTCTAAGCTCTTGGTTCAAACAGCAGACAACCACCAAAGCGCAAAAGACAACTACCAAAGCGCCGAAGAAGACAACGCCTTCAGATAAAAAGGAAGATTCTTCTGAAACGGTCCCGCCGTATCCAACAAAGATATATAATCTAACTCGTGTAACACCATCTCCTGCGCAGTACGGACCGTTAGCAATGGGAGAAGTTTTGCAGTCGAAGGGAAGTAGTCAAGAACAATTCAGGGGATCTGAAACAAATTCGACGATTTCTGAAGACAAGGAGGAAGTTTCGGCAAAATAGTCGCTGGTGGATGTTGGAACTTGGAAATCGGCCTAGAGTGAATTATTGATTTGAGTTGAATGAATTGATAGTGAAGCATTTCAAAGCATTCTAGCCATGTATGTCCTTGTGAATAAAATTTGGAATCAGCCTTGTTAAAAAATCGAGAAATTATTGAAGCATTACAGCCCACAAGACTATACAAGGTGTCCCAAGAAATGTGAACACTTTTTGATCGTTAATAACTCCGTTGCTTTCATGTCTTTCGCCGAGCTTGAGGCGCCATTCTGTAGAGCGAGGTTCAACTTAGATTAGTAATATGGAGCAATCACCGATCCCTGTTCGTTACTGTAGGATTACGGTATGAACTTCTAGCATGTGGATCTACAGTGAAATATGCCATCATTATGACAAAAGTTTCTTCAAAAAATCTGAAAAATCGTGTGCTAGGTTTTCGTGCACGCTGATTCCATTACACGACTTTTTTGAGCGTTTTTAGCTTTTTTGGCGGTGTATTCACATTTTTGGCAATTGCTGGAAATCCAGTTATTTCGGTTTACCTGGGATAACCTGGAAAGAAGCATCTCAGTAAAGTGGAAATTTTATATTCAGCATCAGCGGCTTCCATTGCCATTTTCAGTGTGGAAGTTTTTGGCTTGTTTGGTCTTGTTCCGAGGCAGAATGTGGCCTCCAATAGCCTAAAATCCTTATCCAAGTTCCTACCGTAATCTTACAGTAATGAAGAGCGATCGATGATTCGCTCCATACTGAAAACCTAAGTTACTCGCTCTATAGAATGATGCCCCAAGTTCGGCGAAGGACATGAAAGCAAAGGAGTTATTAACAATCAAACACTGTTCACATTTTATTTGACACCCTGTATTTCTAGAGCATATTTTTGAATTTCCAGTCTCAACTTAGGGTCTGATCTGCAAGCAATCAAGTGCAGTTTGGTGTGGTTGGCCTAAATACCCTAATGAAAATGAGTAGAACTTGTTGGATTTTGAACATAGTTGTGAGAATCTGCGATCCTCAACCAATGTATTTATAAGCATATCAGAAATAGACAACGATAAGAAATAATACAAAGACATGTTCGTCCTATCCATCATGCAATGCTGAAGCAGGAGCACAATCATGAAGAAGGTAACATTTGAAGGAGCTAGTCACACTATATGCTAAGAACTTCCGAATCCAAGCTGCATGCAGCCATTTTCAACACAAATTTTTGAGAATTATCATTCATAATGATGCCCATTTGCATCAATCTGTATGACATGGAGTGGGAGCTTTGCGGATTTACCATTTTTTGCATAAATATCAAAAATTCTTGAGAAGCATTGATTCGCTCGAACGTTGAAGCATCAAACTGATATCATCCTGATAACCCTGAGATTAATGATAAATTAAGATCATATTTAAAAGATGGCTGATATAAAAATACGTTATAGTGAATATCGTAAAATATTAAGATTATGCTACATTATTCAGTCCTGCAAATGATTATTTTTCGATAACGACAAGCAACCTTTCAAAGTATAAAGAAAATTGAATTTGTCAAAGTGCATAATGCTTCGACCAGAGGGAAATACAAATGCGTCAGCTAGGTCCTTAGGCATGAGATCGCGTATAAACATTTTCATTGAATTCACCAAAGACCAGTACAATCATGCTTTCGGCAGCGATTTGTATTTTACTGGCAACATCAGCATGGACTAAAAAAAGTCCAAATTATGGTAAGTTCATGACCTGTGTTTGTATCTTGCAAGAAACAATTTCTGCTCAGGGTAGGGTGGAACTCTCCTTATAATCCTTATCAGAGACCGCAAAATCCTCCTCAATGGCCTCAAGACTGCAAGCTTGACTTATATCCTGCAGACAATATACAAATTCTATTTAGGGAACGGTGGATTTCCTCCTTATAATTCTAACCAACAACCGTATTTCTGTTGTTATAAAGTTCAGCCTGGTTGCAGTAGTAACCTTGATTCATATTCTGCCAGAAAGGTACAACTTTTGTTCAGGAAACGGTAGAATTCCTTTTAATAAACCTTACCAAGGGCCGCAAATTTACTGTTATCGAGCATTTATAACAGGTTCGCAAATGCAGCTTGAATTTCTTATTCTTCCAGCAGGATCAAATTCTGAGGAAAAGGTCCATGCCACAAGCTGGCCCTCAACAACCATCAAGTTCGCAACTGGCTAAACTTACATTTTTTGTGCATAATACAAATTCGTTCAGGAAACGGTGGATTTTTTATCAATCATTCTAACCAACTGCCGTCTTCTTATTGTTATTTGGACACCAGGTTTTGATCGCAACTGTTACAGGGCATTCAAAAAATCGTGACGATGGCACTACCGCGCGCAACACGCATGCACTCCCAGCAACCACATTTTTTGGTTTTCACCCCTAAATGCTTTTTTTTGCTTATGAGTGATACTATTTGAAAATTTGAATTGACTGAGTGGAGGTTGAGGTGATGCTGTTCTGTGTGAGTGTTTTAAGCTACTGTGAGCGCAAAGACTGCAGTTAAATCACGATTTCAAATGGTCTTTGCAATATACTGCAAGCAATATACAAATTCCGTTCAGCAAATGACGGAAATTCTTCCAATAATCCAAAACAGCCGCTTTTTGACTGTTACGATTGGCCATCAGATTCGCAATTGCAACTTGATTCATATTCCGCTAGCAAGATCAAATTCTGTTCAGGAGATGATCCATGGCAATCCAGAAGTGCATGGAATCTAAAACGGCAACCCAGACGTGCATGGCCTCTGCCACCAGGTTCGTGATTGGAGCTAATTCTTCTGCAACTGATTTTGTTCATTAAGCCTTCCAGGGAGAGAAGTTCCTACTCTGCCACCAGGTACGCAATTGCAACCTAAATTTTTATTCCGCAAACAATTTACAAATTCTATTCAGTAATCCGTCCATTGCCAGAAACTACTCAGCCACCAGGTACGCCGTTGCAACCTAAATTTACATTCTGCAAGAAATTTACAAATTATTCAGGAAGCCGTCCATTGCCAGAAAACCCTACTCGGCCACGAAGTCCCCAATTGCAACTTAAATTTAAATTCTGCAAGCAATTTACAAATTCTATTCAGGAAGCGGTGGAGTTTCTCCGGTGGATCGCAAACAAACTGCGCAAACTGTTTTCAATTTCAACTCTAATATAAACTCCATCAATTATGTAAATAACATTGCACTTGATAGCACTGACCGCTATAAGTTGCTCAGGGTTCACTCAACATCGCCAGTGGAGTTCTTCCAAGGAGTCAATTATTCAACCACGCAATGCCTCAGAATCCCGAAATAAATGGGCAAGAAAAACAGCAAAAGGGATCAAAGACAAACTGGACAGCAGAAGTCAAGTTCCCGCAACTGGAAGCAGTTTTATCGCAACTATCAGCATTTCTAAGCTCCTGGTTCAAACAACAGACAACCACCAAAGCGCAAAAGACAACTACCAAAGCGCCGAAGAAGATAACGCCAAAGCCAGACTACACAATAGAAAAGTTCACACCGCAACAACTAGATGCATTTCTAAGCTTTTTGTTTAAACAGCAGACAACCACCAAAGCGCAGAAGACAACAAAATAGCCGCTGGTGGATGTTGGAACTTGGAAATCGGCCTAGAGTGAATTATTGGTTCGGTTTGAATGAATTGATGAAGTAAAATATTTCAAAGCTTTCTAGCCAAACATGTTCTTGCAAATAAAATGTGGAATTAGCCTTGTTGAAAAAAATCTAGAAAGCACTAACACAGCACACAGCATAACCATCCAGATAATTTTTAGAGCATTTCACTTTTGAATTTCCAGCTTCAACATCTGATCTCAAAATAGTTGAGTGTAATTCATTTAGTGTGGTCGTCGCGTGATGACATAAAAAACCCAAAACTAGTAGAAATAAATGGAAGCTGTCGGATTTTGTGAAAATCACGATCTTCAGTCATTGTACCTTGGAAGGATGTTAAAGGTAAAGGCAACGGTCTATGACGAAATTTAACTCGAAAACATGTATGCCATTCATCATGTAATCATGAAGCAGGAGGACATTCCTGACGAAGCTGACCAAAAGCGCTAGTTACACAATATGCTAATAACCTCCGAAGCTAAAGCTGGATACAAACTCCGGTACGCATTCGAAAAGGCTGTATTCTGATAGTTGTTTGAAAATCTGTAACAAAGTGTATGATGTGGGTATTGGAGAAATTTGCGGTTCTAACATTTTTTTGCATCAAAAATCATGAGACGCTTCAACTCGACGATCCTTGAGAAACTCTGGACTGCTTTCAAATCACATGATGACTGTGTGATGATTTATTCCAAGAGTGTCTGACCCGGGGAAGGTACTGAAGGATGAATAGAGGCGTGGGCGAGGGGGAGGGGTCAATCGAGAGAGTGAGGTGATAAAAAAGCGAGCGGTATATATTAAGTATTCACCGATGTAATCCTAGAGAGTGGTTTCGGTCGTTGGAACGCTCCAAAAAACTCTACACTACGTTGACGGGGGGCGGGGGGGGGGGAGGAAGTAATTTGAATGAAGGTGCATATTGCAACATGCCCTCAGAAGAAGTTCTTGGAATGCTTCGCAGTTCTTAAATGGGCCTATAACACTGAAAATCGAAGTACGAGCAAAGCTAATTTAAGTTTTTGTAACTTTCTGAAATGCTCTTATTTACTCACAAGTATAAACAAGTTACTTTGCACAATTTTATTACTCATGCAGATATCTACCAGAAATTCACTACTCTTTCGAGCATCTTGGTCTGACACTGACATGTATGTACTTAAGAAGGAGAGTTCAGCTTTCGTTCACAGAAGTTATTCTAAGTGCTACAAAACTAACACCATACTGGACGGAAATTGCGTTTACGTCCACTTGAAACTTTTGTCAATAGGGAATTCGTAGTCCAGATCTTATCCGCCAACAAAATGCGAAGATATTGTACGAGATTGTTGCTGTATGTGATAATAGCTGATAGCGACAACGATGACCATGAACTGCCGCCCAGTTCTATCACCGCGCGCACCAGCAGCAAATCTCGTACGTCTCGTGCGGTCGCTACCTTTTCTCTCTCTCTCGTTCTTTCCTCGATCCGTTCGCTCCATAAATTTTATGCGAGACTATCGAACTTGGAACAGACGTTGAAATGTTATTATATCGTATTGCAAACTTGTTAAGAAATGTTCACGGATGTAAATAAATTAATTTAAGTTTTCATTCCGTTTGGGGAGGCTAGTGCAGTAAAAAAACGGGGTTTTCTGTGTCAACGTGCGATTTTGAGTTTTTGATCTTATCATTATTTTGATTTTGTTTTTTTTTACTGTGTATTGCTTTGACCAATCGCCGCAGTTTGACTTTTGGAAGTGGAAATAAGAGTACAGAAGCGCCCAAAGACGATGTATATTTCATCTTTTTACCACTTCAGATCTCCTTCTATTCTTTATTTTTTATGCTCAAGCCTTACGAGAAGTTTATGTACTCAAGTTTACATATGTACATTAGTTCCTCAAGAAGATCCATAGAAGCTAGTGAGTGGCTAAGCAGCAGAGATAAGACGTAATTTACTAGACTTTAATGAAAGGAACATGTTTCAGCTTAGGCTTATACTTTGTAAGAGGTGCCTTCTGATTATCTCATAAAAGTAAATCGAAAAGTAATGATTAAGTTTTTTAAAGAATTTCTCTGCTTGACTTAAGGTCTTATAATACTTGGTCTAAATCAAGATAATAGCTGCTTGAAGATGATTTACTAGTCCATCATCAGCACCATCATGATATCAGAACGTCATTAGCATCTCTACCAGATGAAATCGAGAAAACCAAGTACTGCACAAATGCTCGAATATCTACTTCGAATATAAAATCCTTGGATAAACAAGTCACTTTTGGGACATGTCCACTACCTTTTTCTCTATGGTTACCGAATTACGGGGTGAGAGGTGTATAAATTTATATCAGTAGCTGAGCGGGGGCAAGTATGAGTCTCGAAAATATCAAAAGTGGCCTAAATGAGCAATAAAATCATTTATGTGACTCATTTATGTAACTGCCAGCAAACGGCTCTGCTTAAAATAATAATGAGTGCAATCCATATGTTTGGCCCCTTTTTCGAAGACAAAGCGCACTACATCTAACTTGACAAAGGACATCGTCATTTAAGACTTTGCATTTGCAATTTTTTCGACAACTGCTTGATCTTTAAGTATAGCGAAAAAATAAGTCAAGGGGAATGAATTTTTTTGTTTCAGCTGAACCGTTATTCTAGTATCTTCCAACAGAGGATTTTGCTATCTTATTACTTTGTAAGATGTCAAACATCCAGGTCTTGGTGACTTTTGATGCTCCTCAGAAATGCGATTGACACGAATCTGCAAAGTTATGACTTCAAGAATGATGACGGGGGCTGTTTATCCCTTACTTCTACGATTCAGTAAAAAATTTGCTACCTATATCCGTATCTGTTCCCATCATTTCAATAGTAAGTGGCTATATATTAGGTTGTTACAAAAGTTTTGTTACGCTTGACAGAAAATAACCTTAATAATTTCTCAAAAGATTTTTTTTCATTTTCTACGTGAGAATTTGCGTATTTGCAATATATACATATCACACATGAAAATCCAGTATTTGAAAAATTTGAAATATAACTATTTTTGGCAGATTTCCAAATTGCATTATCGTAGAGCTCAAACTTCCATACTTCCTCCATATGATTAAGGTTGCTCCCGAAAGTTCATAAAAAATTTAAAAAGATGAAAAAGAAGGATGCGAGAGTTTTTACGGTATAAAGAATAATTGGATGTCTCACAATAAATGTAAGAAGTCCATAAAGGTAAGTGATGCCAAGTCTAGCCCTTCACTTTTCTTCATATGAACCAAATATGAGACTTCGAATTTTCAGAAGTTTTCTAGATGAAGACGAAAAAAGTGTAACAAAACTTATGTACCGCTTAATACAAAACTGTCAGATTTGCCAAGTTCCGAAGCAATCTGACACTATTTTATAAATAATCAAATATGTTCAACTCTGATTAAAATCTTATCCTCCACGCATTTATATCATGACACAAGCATGTCAGGGTCTTTTTTGGTTTGTATGATCATCTTTGTACAGTCACAACGGTATCGTTAAGTATTCGTTAAGTGTGGAGTGCCTCATAAACACCAATGTCTCAGTCGTTCTCCAGTCATTCGACATCTTTTTGACCATGTTGTTATCCGGCTTTGTTTCTCTCACGTCAAGATTTTCGCATAGAGAAGAGCTTTTGACTTTTTTGATTACATATCGTTCTTCAGTTCAAGAAGACAGATCTAAATCAAGCGTTGCAAGCTGCTTATAGTTAATTATGGTCAATACACTGTTGTTATTTTCACGATATTTTGGTATAGCATTTTTCCTTCCTTTGCTAGAACGTTGCAAATTGTGTTTGATTACAATGTATTCCTCAGATTTCTATTTTACTGTTTAAAACACTAACGTGTCTCAAGATTTTTATCGAGCTTATAAATGAGATTAATTGTTATTTAGAAATTGCTCCAGATTGATATATCTGTATGTATAAATTCTTGATTGAGTTTTCTCCCGTTTACGAAATATTTCGAGGAAATTTTTTATTGCTCAAGTATCAACATGTTTCTCTCAAGATCTACATAGGAAGTGTTTTAAAGTACATAGCGAGCAATTAAGCTCAAAGAGTTCGACTGAGAAAGTCAGCTCAGTTAATTTTCCAATTTTCTGGAGCTTTTCAATCCGTAAAAAATAGCTGACCCTTCTAACTTTGGTGCTCTTTTGAGTCAATATACTAAATATGTTGTTTAGGATCTAGTCAAATTACAGGAAATTCAACTACTTGTTCAATAATACTCAACAATGCCTTCTATTCTAGGCATTTTGATAAAAAGTTGGAGCTATAACACGTTTTGAGATTAGGTCAGGAAGAGAATTTAAATCGTGGGTTTTATGCAAGGTTTTATCGATGCTTGCCTAGAGGGTGAACATAAGTGAATAACTAGAAAATGAGCTATGCATTGCCATTAGTATTCTTACGATTAAAGTTTTTCTTGAAAATGACCCTAATTTCGCTTGCACGAACTCAAACTGTTGAAGGTTGAAACCCGCAAGTTATCCAAACGAAAATGAAACCTTGCCTGCAAGGGCAAAATCATTGGATGTCTGCGAAAAAATTCAAGCTTCAAGAAGATTTCCCCTGCTCATCATTCTGATCCAGTTCGATTTGTCGTTAATACGGAACCAGTCGTTTATTGTTACAGATGTCACTGATGGGGTTGACACTACGGGGGGGGGGAGGGAGATTGCGAGACTTCCGTGCAAAAGAACGCGTTCCAACAATGCCTGATCCGCAGTCTCGATCGGGTTTTCTTCTTCAGTCGGAAAAAGTACGAAGGACTTTTTCCTTCCCTTGCGCTATATTTACCGCATTTATTACATTTTTTGGCACTATTTTTATCTTTAGCAACGTTATGAACACCGTTCCTATAGTAGTTACCTATAGTATTCATCAAGATATCGCGCAGCGATAGATGTTCTGAGATATATCGATCAGCTCATACTGCGCAAAAATTGAACCCTACTCGATTATTCCAATCAATTTCCAGGTTTTCAACTTTCCTTCCTTCTCTAGTGGCATCAAAGCTTACAGATTTCTACGGCTAGATGTTACGCTGTAAATAGCCTTACTATCTAGCTAAATCAAGGATCTAGCACGCCACAAAAGCATAGATTATAATCGTCACAACGATTCTTAGGAGAACAAGTAGCCTCGCACTTCTTTCAATCATTTTTTACATATGTTTTACGGCATCTCTACGAGGCTGTATACTAGTAGTCTAGCTTAGTCAATTGTTCTTTTTGGCCAGTCTCGATATTTTGAAGCGCTTTTAGCCTTGATTTTTCTTGATCTTCGGAACATGTTCTTCTCTTTATACCTTTCATCTTCACTCTCCTATCCTTAATTTTTAAAGCATGCAAACAAGACACATAAAATATCTCCATATTTTATAGACATCACAGTCACACTTTCTCCTAGTTCCTTCCGTGTATCGTCAAAAAATTTTTTTTATATAGATAGGTGTTAAATCAAAATTTAGCAAACAAGTTCACATCATAATGTTTGATTGCTTTACAACGATCCTAATAGCAGCTAGATTCACGCTATAAATCTTCTACTGTAGCCCTCTTTCTGTGAAAAATCTTCCGATGTATCTTCTCATTTATTTAGCAAGTTTGGCAATAATTCAAACTTTTTATTTCTGTTTTGCTCTACTATAAACTCTGCCTCTATTACATGTAATTCAGAAACAACAGAATTGTAGCAGATTCGGTCATGGGACTAGGTGATCCCCCATCCGGGGAAAATCTTCTGGACCTCAGGTAAGGAGTTATACTTCCTTTGTTTCATATACTTTTACCATAACTTGGTCTCAACAATTCCCATTTAGCGATACAACTGAGCCTCGCACCCTGTCTGAAATTGCAGAACGTTTCAGAAATAAAAGGATCTACGTAAGACTTTGATAATTTCTCCATATAACTAAAGAATTTCTATGATTTTGCATTTTAGACAAATGTCGGAGATGTTCTTCTATCAGTGAATCCATACGAAAAATACAGCATTTACGATGAATCCGTAATTGCACAATACCGTCAACTTAGTAGATACGCGTGAGTATCGAAATTTTGAAGCATAGCAGTTTTACTGTAAATTTTTTTTCCAGGCACATTTTCACTCCAGCCAGATCGGCAGTGGAAAACATAGAGAGTGGTTCTACCACTCAGTTCATTGTATTAAGGTAATATCTGGCAACATAAAGGAAATTTTGAGATACATACACGGGGTTATTTGCTTGTAAAAGAATCAAAGCTTTGCAAAGTTGAGCTAATGGGGTTAACAAGTTTCTTTCTCGTGTCCGTGATTTCTCTCTTTACGATTGATGAACGAGTGTGCGTGGGATGCACGTTAGTGTACATTAGTCTTCGAAAACATGAATGAAAAGGAAGATTCAAACTATCAGCAAGGGAGATACCCAAGTTAATTATGCAATTGATGAAACATCAGAGATAGAAAAAAAAACGATTTTTTTCGAAGTTGTCGCATAGATAATGCAACTTCGATTGATTTAATAGAAAAAAAAGCGCTGGCTTCCTACCGGTAATACAGTAATTAATAAATACGAAACTCAATGGCACCAACTTTCAAAGGGAATACTCAAACTTATTCAATTGTTTCCGCCCTTTTTGAAAAATCATGGTTTTAGTAATCAGTAAAACTGGTTTTGCTTTGAGATTCTCTTTAACGCTGTCTTTGAATAAGAAAAACTCGTAAACATTGAAAGTACCTAGGAAAAGTCATGATTTTTACAATTCTTCCAAGAATGGCTGATTTGTCTACTAAATGAAATATGCGATAGGCTCGGCATAAGAAATTCTTAGATGAAAATTATAAAATAAAAGTTCATTCGTCTTTCTGTGCGCATGACGAATTTTCTGATCTACTTGGTGCGAAAGTTCAGGGACATCTTAATGTGAGGGGTGATAATAATAAACTATTGTTTTACTACTTGTCAGAATATTCTCTGAACCTATATTTTCAGCGGTGAGTCCAACTCAGGAAAATCGTTTAACGCCCACCAGGTGATGAGATATTTGGCAACATCTCGGAATAGTAAAGTTACAATCAAGCATGTAAGTAGAAGCAGCAGTGGTAGCATTGGATTTACCAGATTTTTCTTCTCCATAAGAGTGATTTAACTGAATCTTTGAAATGATTTCTTGCTCGAATTCAACATACAGACTCTCTCAGAAGCTTTTAGCCACATTGAGATTTTTTACCAAATTCTCGTTAAGATTTATTCGAATTTGATGATTATGTTTTAGATAGATGCAATAACAACAATCTTCAATAGCTTTGGCTGTGCTAAAACTGTAAAGAACGATAATGCTACACGATTTGGCTACTGTATGGATTTTTTCTACAATAAGTAAGTCATTTCTCTTAATATTATAGACAGCAGAGCTATAAGGATCCTTTTACAGGAATACTTTGTCTGGGCTTGGTCTTAGCACGACTTTGCCTCTGGAAACAACTCGGGTTGTTTCTCAAAAAGCAGGCGAACGCAACTATAACGTTTTCTATGAACTTTGCGCAGGAATAGCGTCCGATGCACGTGCCAGCTATGGAATTCGAGATCAGCAGAAATTCTTCTATCTTACACAGGTAGGCACACCTTTTCAAATGTTGCGAACGGTGTCGGTCGCGCGATCCATCACGGAACGCGCCGACGGAAAATAAGGTGTGGCGGACGTGTTTTGCGGTTTGCAGGGCAAGGCCGTCGACAGTGTTCGCAATGACGCAGCGAACTTCGCCGAGCTCGACGCTGCGCTCGAAATCGTGGGATTCTCGGACGAACAGCGGCAGATCATCTACAAAACTCTCGCTACCATTCTACATTTGGGAAACATGTACTTCAGACAACGAAGGGTGCGAATTTATCGTTGGTTTGGGGCAGGAAGCTTCAATGTTTTCTAAGCAGAGTAAAATAAGACCTCGAAAAAACCTGACCTCGAAAAAAACGTGCAAGAACGCACGCAACGAGATAGCTTCGCTTAATTTGCTGACATTGTTCGTCACCTACAATCCATCGTGAAATTTTATTTCCTGCACATTTAGATCGGGACAGAAATCTTCTGACATAAGGTCAAAAAACAAATTTGTTAAGCCCAGTGGAGAAAATCTCGATTATGCACTATCATACAACGTGCTGTTTCATACTCGAAAAATGAAGAGTATAAAATAATATGCAGGCGGAAAAGTCAAGACGGACATATGAAATTACCAGTAGTTAGACCAGAGTTTTCTTCAAAATGTTGTTCTTGACGACTTTTTCTTTCCTAGTGGTGCCCGCTGCATTCAAAAAAGAATCATCTTTATTTTGAAAGAAAATTCAAACTTGCAGATTTTTTTATCAGAAATCAAAACAGACTATCCAAAATCAAAATCTTAATGGAAGCTTTTCCACAAAAATTCGGATAAAAGAAATATCAACTTGCTGCACTATAGTAATCAACATGTAAGAAACTTCTTAGAATCTCAACTCAGAATCTTTGAACACCTTTTACACAGGTTTCTTTTGCACAAAATGGCACTACCAAGGCTTTCTCTAAGCTAATTACTATTTACATTTTTTTGAACATAAATCTGCTAATCGTAACTCAAAGGTGATCATGAAGAATTGACTTTGACTTACAACAGCAGTCAAATACTTCGTAGAAACATCGAGATATTTTGCTCTTTAAACTTAGTCCCTGTTTTTAGAGCGCTGAGGATGATACCGAATACGTCGAAGTAAGCAACGATGCCGAATTGAAATGGGCTAGCTATCTGTTGGACGTCGATATGTACTCATTTGCACCATGCTTTACACATAAATTTACGGTAACTTCATGAAAATTTATGACCTGGCTGGTAGCCAAGATTATTGTCATTACAGAAGACTGATGAAGGTGTTAATAAAATGGCGTATAGCATGGGTCAAGCGCTTGATGCAAGAGATTCGTTGGCTATGACGCTCTATGAAGTCATGTTCAGCTGGATACTGAAAAGGATTTCTCTTCATCTCAAATGCTCAGAACACAACGCTACGATCAGCGTCGTTGATTGCTACGGAATTGAGGTAAGGACCTTGGCTGTCCACGGAATCTGTGAAATCTCCTTTATTATTTCGTGTTTTCTGCAAATGAATGAATTTAGCGATACAATAACAATGGCCTGGAGCAGCTGCTTATCAACACTGTAAATGAAAAACTGGGCAATACTTTTGTAAAACAGACATTTTTGGAAGAGTTGGGTGACTATGTTAGTGAAGGATTGTCCTTTGATTGGAAGGTATGTTTTTTAAGATGAGTAAGTAATTAGAAACAAGTCGGACATAGATAGAACAGGAAAATTCAATGGTTTTCATTGTTTGAACCTGAAGTAACCTGATGATCATGGAATCTACTGTGGCCGTTTCAACCCCCAAAATCTAATTAGGGAAAAGTCTTGGCGTGGCCTTAGAGCTGATTTTAGAATCTGGACACAATGTATAATTTCAGATGCCTTCCTACCTGGACAACGACAAAGTTCTTGATCTTCTTTGCAAGAAACCATATGGACTACTCTACCTCATAGATGATGAGTGTAAATTTCCAAAGGTTAGCTAGAAGGAAAGCTTCATTAAAGAGACAAAAAAGATTGTGTGGATTTAGGCATCAGATGAATCCTACCTCCGCCACTGTAATCTTAATCACTTGGATAAGAGTATTTATGGCAAGGTAAAGCTTGTCGAATTTTTTTTCGCATTTTAAGAATTTCATTTTGTTCAGGCGAAAGATAAAGAACGTCTACAGATGTCGGTTCGGCACTCATTCGGATCCACGTGGTACAATGTGCACGGCTTTGTTCAGCGGAACAAACGTGCACTTCCTGGAAGTGTTGCGAAGATTTTGGCAGAAAGCCAAAATCCGGTAAGGTTGAAGAATCGCGACCATTCTTTTTTGAGAAATGAGCTTTTAGGTCATAGCCATGTTGTTCCGCCCATTAGCAGGAAAGGAAGGTGCTGATTACGTGATTTATTCTGCTCAACAGTTCAACGTTGCATCAACTGCGCTAGTTGAACGGATTCTCAGGTTTGTAATTTTTTTTTTGATTGTCAACATAAACTAAAAATTTTGGTCTAAATTGCAGGATCAAGTTTCTTTTGAAGCTTCGAGGTGTTGTGTACAATTTTGATTGGTAAATCGATTACAACAAATCAATTCCAGTGGTCAAACTCATTTCGTTCGATGCGTTCGTTCCAACAACGAACGACTTCCTGCTCATCTTGATGAAGCAACCCTAGCTCGCCAGATCAAGAATTTATATATTGTTGAAACCCTACAATTTCGAAAAGCGGGATTCCCTGTACGAATACCGTTCGAACGATTTGCGAGAAAGTAGGTGCCGAACTGATTTCATCCAGTTAAAGCGTTAAAATCTAATTTACAGCTACCGTTGCCTTCTGCCATCCGATATTGCTCTATGCCAAAATCAAAAAGAAATCATCGATGATATCCTTGATGGTCAAGGAGTAAAATTCGCGGATGATTATAGAATTGGTAGGTAAGAACATGTGAAACACACCTCTAGTACCTGAAAAAAATCGGAATGCGACGGTTTTTTCCGTCGCGACAGGAAGAACCGCGCATTTCGTTTTTTCTTAAGTGTTAGATGCGATGATGTTTCGCTTTCATGTTTAAGGATTTTTTATAGGAATGAATTATGTCTTCATGCGGGATCGACTAGCAAACAGGCTACAAACCCTCAGGGAAAAAACTCAACGAGATGCTGCTTACGTAATCCAAAAGACCATGCGAGCATATGTGGCTCGTAAGAGCTACCTTAAGAAGAGAAATGCTGTGGTTCTACTACAAGCTGGTCTACGTGGTTGGAAAGCGAGGTTAGAATGCTATAAAGCAAAATTTTCTGAAAAGAAAAGTTATTTTTTAGGAAAGAGTGCAACGCATTGCGTCAGCGGTTATTTAGTAATCTCGGCGTTCAAACAAAACGAAGTAGACGCCTGAATGCTTACCATGAGTCTCTTTTAACTGAAACTTCTGATAAGGTAAATTTTCTAGAACTATATCTTGGAATTACTTTCTTCTACTATGTAAGCAATTTTCAGCAGACCTTAAACCCTCTTACTGCGCCTCTGATCAAGGACAAAATGGCCAACACCGATTTAGAGAAACCACACTACGAGACCAAACTCAAATCAGATATAAAAACTACTACTGAGTATCTACCGATAGGTTTGAAGAGCAGAATCCATACTATCGAACCTGTAACAATTGAGAAGTTTGCTGAGAATAACATCAGGGTTAGTTGCTTCTTGCTCGTACTGTACATATTTTTCAGTAATTTTTATCTAGTGCCACCTGCTCGAGCCTAGACGTGAGCCGATCCTAACACCATTTCTGCTCAAAGAAAACGACATCGATTTTCGTTTGTCTATCGAGATTTTCAAATTACTACTGAAGTATATGAATGATCAAACACTAACTCGTTCACAATTGGATGATCTTGCTCGGTACATTGTCAAACAGGTATTTTGCTATTTGATTGATTCTCCTTGGTTTTTTGGTTCAATCCTATTTCCAGGGCATTGCTAATTCTTGCCAGCGTGACGAAATTATCGTTCAAATATGCAATCAAATCTACAAAAATCTTGATAAAGAAGCGACGACTCGATGTGGACGTTTACTTCTACACGCTGTAGGAGTCTTTGCTCCATCTGAAGCCGTATTGCCTATGTTAATAAGGTGTATCAGACTGAACCTGAGTTGTTACATAAAGCAAATTTGTTCTATCTAGTTTCGCAAATCAGCTGAACGTACCTCTCCGAAAGCAATTGTTGAGTACTATAGCAAGAAGACTGAATATTTATGACAATCAGGTATGCAGTAATCTAAGCATGGCGTTAATTTAGATTAAAACAAGTTAATTTGTAAATTTGAAACAAGTTATTCGAATACTGAACCTCCAGTGGATTCCGGGAAGGCCTTACATACATAAGCCATTGCCCCTACAGCAGTTCATATGACTTTTTCTCATAAGAAAATCATAGTGCAGCCCAGATCGTAATCTTCTGACCATTTGGCGCACTGGAATACTGTAGAATACGGTCTGGACTGGATTTTAGAACCAAAATTTTCATCCGCGAGTGAAATATATGATTTGCTGCACTGGCAGTGGCTAAGCCTAAGCCTCTCAATTAGACCCCTATCAAGAAATTCAAGTGGTCAAACTAGTCTGGACACTGCCATTAATGATTTAAACTTCGAATTAAGCATGCTACACGACTTCTACCAGCTTCTCACCTTGAAATGGCTGCCATCTACAGTTATCACAATGCTGCGATTGAAGTAACAGATCCACAAAACAACGTCTACATGGTCGAGGCACACCCATGGATCACTAACGAGGAATTTGCTGCTAGAGTGCTGAGGCACAGGTAAAACGCAATTTTACTTTGTGTCCGAGTTTTTCATCTTCTTGTTTCAGGGGAATAGGAGACTCTAGCGGATGGACAGTCGAAGTAGAGGCGGAGAAAATGCTCTACTGTCCGAGCGGTGCACATTTTCTGTTCGACGTGATTTCTGAGATCGAGCTGGGCAAGGAAGAGAATAAAAGGTTTGTATAGAAACGGTTCGCTAATAACTGTCACAAACATTCGAAGTTTAGGTCATTCTTCTATAATTACTCAACGGAGCGCACACTTCCTCCTGTAAACCAAAACAAGACCGAAAACATTGATCCACCAACAAGAATTTTGTGAGTTTTTCATAACATTAGTTACTTCAATTTTTTTTTCTCAGCTCTGTAACTGGGGTTTCGTCAGAATCATTTCTATGACAATTATCAATTATTTTGAGCATAATCTAAAAGACTGCGTCCCCCTTATAGCACAGTAAGAAACTCCTTCACAACGCTTTCTCTCAGCGCCTATTTGAGTGGTAGGCTAGAGTTGTGATTGGTCACTTGGCAACGGTATTAAGCGGGCTGCTGTTGTGACTGGTCAGTTGTCAGTAATGCACATGCTGCGACTGTGATTGGTCAGCGCGAAGGGGAAGCGAAGACGGTAGACCGAGTCAACTGCGTTGACAGTATTTTCAGTATTTTTAAGCTTTTTTTGACAAACTACCAAGTTTTTGGACAGTAAGAAATGAAAATGTGAAAGACAAAAGCGAAAACATTCATTGGTTTATGAAAGCATTCAAAGCTGGAAAAATTTTTTGAGGTCTATTATTTTGTAGGAGTCCAGTTCTGAAAAGAAGGATGAGACAGATGAATGAAAGCCAGGACTCACTTCGTGGCGACAGATCGTTGGACGGTTTCAGCGGTGGCGAATTGCCACACCGACGTGGAAGATCTCAGGATTCTCCGCGACTGGCGAGACTTCCATCATCTCCACCTGTACAAAGGCAAGCGTACCGAGCAGTTGACGAGGATGAAGATTACTGTTACGCTTTGCCGATCAAGCCAAAGGCGATGAATGGTACGATAGGAACGTTCTGCAAGAAGGCTCTAGGCTCAAAAGTCGCTTTCCAGATTCACCAATTTCTAATCGTGCTCTTCGAGCAAATCCGCCACCCGATGTCAGGCCCCCAGAACTTCCAAGACAGCCTATTCCGAATAATTCTGTAAGTTACTATAAGTTACTAATGGTATTCACTTTGCTAATTAAATAAATTTTAGATGGGTTGCTACGATATGCCGTACCAACCTTCTCACCCGCATCACAGGTTGGTTGGCAGAAAATAAATATTGAACAAAAAAATGGTAAACAATGCTCAACCTATACAGTAGCTATGTTTTCAAAAGAATCCGTTCATTTGCCTCTGAATTGTGGCCAAGCGAGTTAAAGTCACGAAATTCTGATTTTGAGTGGTTGTGTTGTGTGAGATGCTGGTGAAATTCTCACAGATGAGACAGAAGATTAATTTCACCATTATTAGAAAGTACATGAAGAAAGCTTTTCAATGATTTGCAGAACTCATATCGAAAAAGAGATTTCAAAGGAAAAAAGTTATTCGGCAAGTATTAGAAGAACGGACATTATTTTCGCAACAGCCTAATAAAATAAAACAATATTGTAAAATTTGGAAGCTGCTGTCAAAGATAAGTTTTTGGGCTGCATACAGAGTTGCCAGTGTGCCAGCGACGTGCAAGCTCTGTGCCGGTGTGTCGATCGATCATCACGAGGCATTGCTTGAGAGCTGTCACGGTGCTGACTCGGCGCTGGCACGGACATCTATAGAAGAAGCGTTACCACAGCAAAGGCTCGTAGGGCCAGCGTTATCCTTCTATCTTTTTTCAAAAGGAATAGTGGACGAATCTGTTTGAATGAAATCTGCATGCTGGATATTCCATTTCAAAATTTGAAAATTTAGGCCTTCGGACTCTCAAGATCGCGCGCAAGACCGACCTGAACCAGTCGCACCCAATCAGTACTATCCCCAGACAATGGTACCACTTATCAAGCAAAAGCTTTATTCTTTCTAAACTATTGTTTTGTAGCCAATGCTCCAGTACGTGCCAGTCATGATGGCTCCACAAATCCAAATGTTCCCAACACAAATGAGCCAAACAGTGGTTCAGTCTCCCATTCTGATGCCTCCTTCACAGCTTCTCACATCAGCAAAAATCCAGCCACCATTGGCATTTGAGAAAGGTGAGTGAATATCAGATATTTTTGGAGTAAACAAGTATTCAACGGTTGTGGAGTTATAGTCTTACCACAAGCTCGTGCCACATCGCGACAATCTCATCAGAGGGAGCCCAGCTCACAAAGTTACGGTAGAAGTGATGCCGAGGATCGTAACCCCGAGTACGGTGTTTCCGTCGATCCTCGAGTAGGGTTCGACTCAATCCGATCTCGTTCAAGTGATCTCACTCGAGGTGGTGTTAGCGACCAGGTGCCGAGTGTGTATTCCACAATGTCAGTGGCTTCACGCATTCGAAGTATGCCGGTACCGAACAATAATAGAGATGTGGATCGATTTTTAGACGAAGTTTTTGATCAGGTATATTGGAAAATTTCCAAAAATGTATAAGGTACACAAGCGTAGCTTTAGGTACTCTCGCCACATGAGCTCGCTGCTGCCGAAATGAATCCTCATCAAATCGCAGCCACCATTAAGGGTGGGGCTTATGGTTTTGACGACTATGATACGGTAAGGGATACGGTAAGTAAATATTTTTGTCTTGAAAAGGCGTATGTATAGCCGCTTACATTATTCCCGATTACAGTAGACCGTTACTTAATGAATTGCATCTTGAATTTCAAGTGGAGCAGGTCGATTCGTAGAGCTCAGAAAACAGTTATCGATATTTTTTGCCGTTATATGTATCGCGCTCTGCTGCAACCGACCTGCTCCGGTTCATATTTAAAATTATCCACCAGCTGTCTATGAAATAAAAACGACTATAGTTGGATTGCCGGTGAATATAGTGTTCGCACATCGGCGACAACATTTGCACGGAATAAAATGGCATGCTTTTGAATGCCTGCAACTTGCTTGTGACTGGCGAGTAAAGATTGGCCATAGAGCGCATGTCAGTCGTTTACGCGCAAATGTTGTCGGCAGAGCAGGAACACTAAACCCAAATATGTATAAACGCCTATGTAATGAATTGTCGGATCGATAAAGTTCAAATCGTGAATAATATTTAGGTCTACCAGAAGAAAAATACACCTTACCCAACAGATTATTCTGCTGATCCAAACATGCAAGATGGTAATCGCTACGATTACATCACCAGGGAACGCATGGTATTGGTGATATTATCGTAGCTGTCCAGTTTACTCACTTTTTCATAAATTTGTAGCCAACACGAGAACAACTATCGCGGCCAACAGAGCGTGCCCAAAGTATACCAAGATACCCAGTACATCGACATATCCCGGTGAGGACTCATAGTCCAATCGTATGAATCCCAACTAAATTTTTACCGACTCAGCATGAATCGTCTGATTCGTTGCCGTCTGATGTTTGTACGATGCGCGAATATGTGCCATCACCTCCGGGAACATCCACTATACCGTCTTCGTCCAGGCTTTATGGAGGTGTTGAAGAAACAGATAACGTTTACGAACCTCAACAAATGCTGTTCATGATGCCAATGCAAATGAATGGTACTTCGTAAAATGTATCAAATATTTTTCTTGTTCAAGAAAAACCTAGTTCAGCCTCCAACGGTCAAATGATGCCAGTTCTAATGGCACCAGGGATGATGACGTCGTCAGTAGCACCGAACATGGTATGAGCTTAGTAGAGTTGATACTTTATTTGCTTCATTCTTAATTTAGATGTATTGCATGACCCCAGCACGTCAGACAGCGTCAGCGACAAGGCAACGGTAAGTCGTGTTTTTTTTGCCGTAGAAACGCAATTTTTTATTTTATTTTATTTTATTTACAAGTTTATATAGACGTAACAAATACTGGAGGCAAAGAGATATATCCTGAAAAGTCCGTAATTATTTTTCAGAGGTGAGATGCTTTGGAGTGTAAAAAACTGGTACGGTGATTTGGCTCTGATATTTGAATATTTATTGGAAAATTCCTTAACCCTAGGAAAGTTTTCGACATTGAAGCGATAAATATAGGCCTCAAAATCACTACGCAATTTTTTAAAAGAGAATAGCCTTAGCACTCAAATTCTTAGGGTCATTACGTGTTTACACTTTGCACTGCGATGTGTGCATTCCCTTCGGGACCCATAACCCCAAACTCTCCCTTGTGTTCATACCTTGGAAATGTTTTGCGGCTTAAATCAGGAAGTCAGGCTGATCATAGCAACAGCGCTCTAAGTATTCATAGATCCATGAGAACGTATAATATCCACAAGAATCTCTACAATAAGCAAATCACAACAGATATGTCCTTTGATTCAGCAATTACGATATCCACTTTAAATCGGATTTCATCTAGAAAATGTGATAAGAACTGTCGAAGACACGCCTATATTATTTATCTGTGTTTTTCTGACAAATGGTTGTGAAACTGGGCGTTAATCTGTCAACGAAATGAATTGATTTCTCGCATTATCTCAAGTAAATACTTGCAATTTTTGCATTTTCTGCCATAACTAAATGTTTCTGCAATCAAGACATGTGACAGCATTATTGCTCTAGTCGACCTGTTAGAACGTATGACATTTGAGCACGGAACAGAGTGTCCTAAATTTTGCGCATCCTTCGAAAACTCTTCAAAGTGCATGAATTACATATTCAAGTGGGGTCTAGCTCCATACGAAAGCGGACGATTTATTGTCGCGAAGCAAGCGCGCGGCGGTTGATCATTTGTTATCGTTGGAATGCGTGGTATGCAGCAATGGACCATACAATACCGCTAGTTAAAAAAAAACGACGCACAGTCGCCCGATTTATGTGATATCACGGTAGCGTGGCCATATCTCGCTTCAGAGTTGACGAATTCTTAATCCAAAGCACCATTCGATTCAGGTTGGCCCGGCGCATCTTCTGATATATAGATATACCCGCTTAGTCACAGTAGGAGGCCATATTCCACGAATCGTACAAGATTTTTGTTTACGGTAGGTTACTTAGTCTGCTTATTCATTGTACTCTGGACAACCTACCGTAAACAAAAATCTAAGACGATTCGCGGAACCTGCCCCTACTGTGTCCGCCGAGCCGAGCTGAGCCGAATGGTGCCCTAGGATCAAGAATTAGTCCAGTCTGAAGCGAGATATGGCTCATGCTACGGTGACGTCACATAAATCGGGCGACTGCGCGTCTTTTCCAAAAAATTTCAAGAAATGCGGTATTTGTCTGCCCGTGCGCCGCGCACGCGTGCGCGTTGCTCGTATGTAGGACTTGCATAATTGAATGTCCACTGCGTGTGCGTTCTTTCAGCATTATTGTAAGGCAGTAGACAACTCATTTCCATTTGCATCAAGAATTAGAAAATTTTTAAGAGATTAAGAAAATTTGCAAGTAACTTACCATGTCTAAAATGGCATTTTTAAACTCATATATCCAGCTGCATACGAATTATGTGCTGGAGCACATTTGTGTTCGTTACCAACTTTACTGACTTCCATGCGATGACAGAGATCGTGAAGTACACGCGAGCAAGCGCAAAGGCAAATAACGTTCTTGATTGTGCGTGCAATACACGCTCCAATGACGATGGTTGCTCGGCCATCGCGTTCGCGGCTACTTTGCGAGGGTAAAGCATCCGGTCTTTTCTGGGGGCTATACCTTACCGATAGACGGAAATGAACTGAGACACATAACTTTGCTAATCAGTCTGGATCACATCTGAAGACTGAAGGGGAATCTAGAGCAAGCTTGAATTTTTTTATATAAATTTGTTAACAAAGCAATGGGAGCTATGAAGAATTTGCAACATTTCTCCTAGTAGATTTTACGATCATTTTTCGTAAACCACTTACGTAAGTCTTCAAAAAAATTTCCTCGTAAATTTTATTATCTTTTTTCATCAACTACGTAAGTACTCATCATGCGCACAACTTTATTGTGCCTCCTTTTATTCATACTCACGTTCTCACAGTGTAACGAACGATTTTTGAGAAAAACATCTTATAAGTTGGAATTATCTCACTAGGGCGTGACATGGATTTTTTATGATTTGCTGATAATAATTTCTGTTCGTGCAGTTTAGATTATCCACAACTGGAGATTGCAAAAATTCTCACGCATTCCTTTCTCTCTTTTCCTTTGATTCATTTTAGTAAAGCCTCCCCCTAAGCTTCAAAAATGGCAGCCAATTGAAATAAGTTGCCGAGATAATTTTTGAAAAGTGTGCTCCAATTATTTGCTTTATGAAACAATCTTGCTTTTTTTGTATTTTACTCCAATTTCGTCTTAATGATCTATTGAGTTGGTAATATATTGGCTGATTCAAAAATCTAAAGACATCCTTACTCAGGGCTCGGCAAGCCCAAACCAAAACGTAAAAAAACCCTTAAAAAGACGTTGACTAAGGAAAATAGTATTTTTATTCCACAAAAACAATATCCCCTTTGCTTTTCGTCCCGAAAACGATATCCAGCTTGCTTAAAAGCCACCTTTGCCGAGCCCAGATCCTTACTGTTTAATTTGGGCAATCAAACTTCCATTCCTTTGCCTTTATCATTTTTTTACAGGCGACATCGTTCCATAGATACAGCACCGCTAAATAATTACGAAGACGACGACAGTATCCATCAACATACACATCACAATTCGGTTTGTTTATTACTGTTTATGATTTTTGCCAAAATTCCCGATCACAGCTAGAAGAACGCCAGAAAACTAGGGAATGATACTTCAACGTTATCTGCATGATAACAGCTCAGATGATAAGTGATGTCATGAAGTGAGTTGGGTGCTATCATGTGGTTAACAAGTCATTGTTAGCTTTTTTCGAACATTCCTGAGAGCTGTCAGGGAAATTTCTCGCTCAACAAATGTGGCTCTCCCACCTCAGTCATGGCATTCCAAACTATCGGTTTCAGCTGCTTTTTTGGTATTCATAAGGCGTTTTCAAGCTGCTAAGACTCAGGCGAAAGGCCTTTGAACTTCGCTTAAGGATTACTGCTTTGAAACCAAGCTATGTCTAATTGTCCAAGAATTTCCCGAGAGTGATTGCCTGTAGATAAGAACGATGTTACGACGAACCGCAGCACAGCGCCAATGACTTTTCGACCAGCTAACGCGTTATCGCGAAACTCGGCTGCACGCCCCGCTCTAACACCCTATTTGTTATAATGTTTGCATATTGATTCAGAAATGAAACCTCTTCGGTCATGGGTGGACTTTGCCTTTGTCAACGCCCTTCTTTTATTCGAATTTTATACCATTCTTTTGTGCCATGATCGATTTTTACAGAGTTCATCTTCTGATTTTCATCCGAGAAATCAAAATCCACAGCAATTCAGGTCAATGTTAGGGTGAGATTTTTGTAAAAAAACCTCCGAAACTTACACTATGAACTAATCAAACCTCAAATTTTTTCTAGGCCTGGAGATTTGGCAACTTTAAAAGCTATTCCACGGCCTATGCCAAGGTCTCCGTCCCCGGCCAAATCGCCGACGGCAGAGCGCAAGCCTAATGTCTGGCAATTTTTTTTGTCGTTCTTTGATCATAAAATTTCTAAGTTTTTGCTTAAGGGACTCAATCGTGTTCCTCCTGATGCCTATCGTCTACCAGCTGTTCAAAGCACTACCATTAATTCTGAGCATCCTGAACCGCGACGACTAAAAGTTCCAGGAAAGAATTTCATGAAAGAAATTCAGATTAAGGAACAGGAAGCTCTACGAAAGATCAACGAACGAATGAAAGTAGGTTTTGTTTATACTCGATTTCGGTTAGGATGCAATCTGCAGTGGTCTTAAAGAAATCATGAATCGAAACAATAACCTTATCTTCATTAAAAAATAAAGACTCAATTACAACTCGCCTCATGCCAAGGCTACAAGGAAGGAGGACTTTTAACATAGACTCAATCATATTATCTCTTTATTTTCTCTCCAATATTGCAATTAGCCGCTTCTCTATCTTCTCCATCACCAACCAATAACATAAATCCTATTTCCTACTAATACTAACTAACCTCTACTAACAGAATCTCCCTCCTCCGGTGGATGAAGTGAAAATTTACAACTTGCCAAGAAAGAAGACAGTAACCCCTGAACAAGTGTTTGCACGGCTGCCTCCTGAAGAACCACATGAAATTATTCCTGATTTTCAGCCAGACTACATTGTGCAGGTAGGCTCTTGTCATTTTCTACCCTTCGACTCCTTTTCACTTACATTTTTGACCTATTCATGAAATTCTCTAACTATCTCATGCTTTAATCCTCTCTTGTTAACGATAAGCAGTATAATCAAAGCTTTAAGATCTTTCTAAGATTACGAAATACTTTGATGTAAAGAGGTGCCTCTTGACATCAAAGTATTTCGTAATCTTAAAAAGATCTTAAAGCTTTGATTATACTGTTTGAAGCTCTCACCCAGAATCCATGTATCTCGAATATTAGGTTGATGCACAATTCTTGCACCAGAAAATAGAAAACATTGTTCTAGAAATGCTTAAGCAAACAAATCAACCTAAAGGATAAGCTCTTTGTTATCTACATATATCAAGAGTAATACTCTACAATACATTTTAGAAATCCAAAATAAAACGAAATCAATAAGTGAGTTCAAAAATCAAATTCGAAACTATTCGTAGAGACATCCAAACGCTATCAACTATTCTTAGTCGAAAAGAGTACGTCATGAAACCAGAGGCAAAAATAAAGTTGAGTTTTTGCAGACGTTTTAGCAGTTTTAGTGACCCAAAATCGAAAAATCACTTTTTGTTTATTTCTCTTAATTAGCTTATATCGCTGCCATATGCTCTCAAAGAATTTTGACTCAAGCACTCTCAGAAAGTGCAAGATTTTTTTTTCTATTACGTATACTTACTTATTTACTTAGATACTTAGATGGCCCGGCTACACGTGACGTGCGGGCCCCAGTACAGAAATTTCCATTGATCCTTGTCCCTCGCTTCGGACATCCACGATCTTCTTAATTGTCGTCGGTGGCTGCGTCCACGAGTTCCAGGTGCGATAATCGTATCCAGCTGATTTCTCAGCTGGTCCATCCGTTCCACGAACACGTCTGCCCACCACGTCGGTGGTCTTCCTCGAGGACGTTTGGCTTCGCGAGGAATCCACTCAGATGTTCTTAGTGTCCATCTATCGTCTGTTCTTCTCATTATGTGGCCGGCCCATCGGTGTTTCGCTTTCGCAACGTATTCCGCTGGATCACGAAGACGGGACATTCTTCTCGTATCCATGCTGCGAAGTCCGACTAGATTTTGCTTGTGTCGGGTCATTTCAGAAGACTGCGCTCGAGCGCTCTGTGGGTGGTCCGTAAAGCTTTCGAAGTGGCTACGGTGTCGGCCCAAGTCTCAGCTGCGTAGCAGAGCGCTGGGAGAGCGGTTGAGTCGAACAGGTGGGCGCGAAGCTCCGGGTCCGTCAGTTGGTCGGTGGCTTCCTTCAGAGGCCCGAAGGCGGCCCAGGCTGCTCTTCTTCTCCTATTAAGTTCTTCCCTCAAGTCGTTCTCCATGTTCATCGAACGTCCGAGATACACGTATTAAATTAGAGAATTTCATTGATATTGGGGGAAGTAGTAGAATTTTGAAAATTTTGGTGAAAGAATTATGCATCAACTTAATGAATGCATAGCCCACAATTCCCTGGAAGTGATTTTACTAACTACAAAAAATTTATTACGTTCACTAGTGACGCGACCGTTGGCCAATCCAGTTGCCAATGGTTCTAGCAAAGCGAAGCGTAGGAATGGACCAGCAGCCCACAAGAATTGAAACTGAGCGCCGCTCGCCTCTTTTGCGCGCCCCGCCCATCCTGTTGCAAAAAATTTTCTGAAGCTCGTTATTTGCTTATAATATATAAACAGAGCGATGAGAATTTGGGTGGGCGCTGCCCTAAAGCATTCAGTCTATGCACAACTACTCTACCATATATCTTGTCATTTTCTTGTCATAAACCATTTTTGCAAATTCTTATAGAGAGAAGAACCACAGACCCGATGGGTTGAAGAAAAACCTCAGGCTCGCTATGTGAGCAGAGAAGAGCCCCGCTATGTTCAAAGAGAAGAACCACAGAGTCGATGGGTATTCGAGGGTGAAGTGGAAAGACCAGTGGAAAGACCAGAAACAATGGTCGAGGAAGTAACACGTATACGATCACCATCTTTTCCAGGTAATTCTTCATTTTCGCATAATTCTGTAAATTCTGAAAAAAATATGTTAAGTTCCACAAGAGCAGATACAAGTGCCAGAGACTTCAATCCGTAGTGATTCCGTAGCTTCAAGTGAGAGGCCAGCAGTAAAATATCTCAAACAACCATGGAAGCTTACGATAAGGAAAGAGGTAAGAGGTTTTTTGCCAGAATTTTTAACCATATAAAAATAGTTAGAAGAGGAAGCGGACCCAAAAATTTGAATGTCTTGTGATAAAAGAAAATTTCTGTCGATGAAAAAAATGACCTCTAATTTGATGATTGCTTAGATGTTCCACCCTAAAGAAGTACTAGACGATGCCCAAGCAAGCCAACTCTTTGCCCAGATTATCACCGATTGTCGCAAAGGAAACGCTTATCGTATTCGTTCATATGAAAGAGATCAAGTTGTCGAAATTCTAAGTGAGTCATTTTTGTAAGAAATGATGGCGAATTTGAAAAGGTAAAGAAAGTTGTTTTAAGAAGCTAGCAATATTCCACCTGATATGCTCAACAGACAAGCTGAAATTCCTATCGACGTTAAAATCGCTGTTATTGAAGCGGCAAGAAAATGGCCGCTCTATTTTGCACAATTTTACGAGGTGATTGGAAATTCTAAAGGGCTCTAGATCACTGAAATTTGATCTACCAATGCACATCAATTTAAAGGTAGTGGAAGAACGCTCGAATGAATCTGTATCTGTATTGCTTGCTATAAGCGAACATGGTGTAAAATTACTGCTGCATACACCCTTGGATAAGCAAAATCCGTTGAAATCGCAGGATTATTTCAGGTGAATTCCTTGTCCTTTTCTCTAGCTGTAAATAGCCTATCAAGTCTACAATACCTCGTAAATCTTGCAGTTTCGCGGATTTGTCCGAAACTACATTAGAAGGCGATGATGTCGTATGTCTTCATACCCAAAATAATGGTACGATAAGGCTTCGTGACAGAATGGCACCACAAATCAAAGCTCAAATTGATAAGTGCATGTTTGGTGAATTACAGGTTGGAATCTTTGTTTATTGAATCAGTTTTATGGAATAAAAATCTCTAAATGACATTATATTCCAGCAAAAGCAGTTTGTTCGCGCTACAGCTGATTACGTTACAAAGCAGCCGAATCTACTGTCATTCAAAAAAGGAGAGACTATAGAATTGGTATGTTGATAATGATATGAGCAGGAAAAAAAGAAAGTAAAGGGAAGGAAATAGGAAGTAATGAGATGCCAACTTTTGGTGATGGAGTTATGTGTCATTTGTTTGAGAGAATAATGTAGAGAATAGAACGAGAATCGGCGAATGTGAAAATGCAAAATTTGAAAGAATAATTAAGTAAGATTCAAAAGTATATTATAAAACCTGTAAGTGAATAAAAGAAATCACCACGTCGCAGTAACCTCGCTGGGAGGAAAGAAAGCAAATAAACTCACTAAGTGGAAAGTTTTGGTTATATTCTTTCGACGGAAATAAAAAATCAAAATTTGAGTTCAGAAAACAAGAGGTAATCATGATAAGAGTAAAGTGATGGTAGTCTTAGTACTACATGATATAATAAACAAAATAGCTGACAAGGGAATGATATCAACATTAGTTGGCAATTGAAGATGAGAAGTGTATCATTGAATGCGCCTTTGAACGCTGATTCCAGTTCTGCTTTCCTTTTTGGCGGGCTAGGTTTCCGAAAGAAGTTTTGAGCGTTTGAATATCTAGATTTGCCAAGCATTGAGTGGCTTAAAATCAGCGGAAGGCTCTAAAACAACACCTATGCGATTTCCCCGGGTTTGTTCCTTGTTTGCAGACAATATACTCGACACAAGAATGATTTTCCACTTTCCGATGTTTTTGTACAGCTTTTCGCCAATTTTAGGCCACCTAAACAGGGCTCGGCACGAGGTGGCTAGTTGAAATTGCAAAAAACGAAGTCCCCCTTGACTTTTGCTAATTTTTACGAAGTCCCCTTTGACCCTAGACCATGGGTCGGCACGAGCTGGCGTCCCGAAATTGCAAAAAATGAAGTTTCATTGTCTTCAATGAAATTACGACATCCGCCACGAGATATTCGAAGAGTAAATACATGAAAAGGAACGGAACAAAGCCACAACAGAAAGAAAAAACGAAAAAGAATCATCGAACACACGCGATGATATTCATATTCTCTGGATTGGCGGCGTGATGTATCCATCGTGCAGCATTACGCGCCTAGAGCAGTCTTTCCGCCGCCATTCAAAATTTTCAAGGGGCTATAACTAAGCGGGGAGAGGGGGGTTTGAGGCGATTTAGGAACCAGTTTGTAGGGTTTGGGAGGTAGATGAAAAGCATGTAAAGAAAGTAGAAAAATTATGTGCGTGAGGAAAAATTTATGACTTTTTCTTTCCTAAGCCACCTCAGGTGGCTATCCAGGTGGCTTGAAAGCCACCTAACTCCGAAAAAAGTTGAGCACGCATTTAGTTCACATCATTTTTTCATAATTTTTCATACTTAGTCCTAACTCCCCATTGCCCATCTACAAACCTATTTTGGTGTCATTTCATCTTCAATTCGCTGTAAACAAACCCTTTGTTTATTTGCCGGCGGCATGCCGGCAGCGTGCCGGTCGCAAATCGAAATACAACGTTATGTTCTTCCACAAAAACGATATCCCCTTTGCTTTTTCCCTAAAAACGATGTCCAGCTTGCTTGCTAAGCCACCTGTGCCGTGCCCTGCACCTAAACCTTGACAAATTCGGACATTCGAACGCCCACAACTTCTTTCGGAAACTTATTCCGCAAAAAAGGAAAGCAGATTAGCAGATTTGGAATCAGGGTTCAAAGGCGCGTCTACTGATATACATCTCATATTCAATAGCCGATTAATGTTGGTATCTTTCCCCTGTGAGCTGAAGAGATAAGTTCAAGCAGTTATAAAAGCTTCAAAAATGTATATAAGGTTTGATCTCGATAACTCTACTCCATCAGTTTTCGCTGACCTTTAGGTAAAATATTGTTGGACTGGCTTCAGCTTAGATTTATGGTATAAAACTATTCATGTAGGATTTCAGTAGGAAATTCTAGCACAATGTCGTCATTGCAAATCAGCCGCATTCTGGAGAATTTTATTTACTTCAACTTTTATGGGCTCTTTTTAGACCCGCTGATTCTACTTCTTGACTGTTTGTAGAGCAACTTAGATGGTTTTTTGATAGTCATTGGGAAAACCGCCGTTACAGTATACCTATCGTAACCTTGAACCAGAGCATATGGTGGATCCATGTTGAAGCCGGCCCTAATATATGCTACCCGAAGGTCGGCGAAAGCGATGACACAAAAGAATTCAAATCTGTGAAAATGATGCTTTGAGACACCTGAGACACCCCATTCATAAGATTAATTCACTAGAGGAATTGCTGTCACTTTCTAATCTTTTTGAGGTTACACCTCCAAATGACGAAGTACCTACACCTGGATGGTTCTACGGTAAAATTGGTAATCGTTACGGTAGCCTGCCAGCACAATACGTTGTACCACTTGACGACAACAATGTTCGTTACTCATTTTAGTCGCTTCATTTAATAACCTGCTTGCTTCTACTTTATGTTTGCCGTCCTGTATGCCTAACAAATTGTTCCGTGTTAGCGATAGCGTCGATCTGTCATGTGGCGTACTGTATGTATTTTGTGGAACTGCTGTATACCGTAATGAATAAAGCAAAAAAGCGGGAAAATCCTTGATTGTACAGCGGGAAGTGGAAGAATCCGTGCCACCTCTTCCCTTGGTTGAAGAAAACACTAACACCGAGATCAGCAGCCAACTGGATGGGAACAAATATACGATGATGGAATTTGCTCTCAACCATTTCCGTGGTCCCAAAGGTTACGAGAGCACTATGAGGAAAAATAGTAAGTTGACATTCTGCCGTAGCAAGTTTACTGCGATCTGTTACTTTTAAGAGAAAGATTGGACTTGGCAAGATATCGCTCACAAGATCAAGTTCACGGACAAGCCCATATCTCACTCGTTAATTCGCTTTGATTCCAACGAACTGGACAAGTTGGCAGCGGAGACTTTTACTTGTAAGCTTTTAAATCTAACGAAATCCAAGATACGAATACTTTTACAGGTATAATGAAATACATGGGAGATGAGCCGATTCGTAGGGGCGAAACTCTAACAGACGCCGTTTATCGTTTACTGCTTATTTGTCATAAACATGCTCCCCTCAGAGATGAAGTTTACTGCCAAATCATTAGACAAACCACAAATAACAAATCGAACAAGTAAGCTTTCTTCATCCAACCCTTTAATCCAAAAAAGAAATCTATCTTGTAGGCCGGACAGCTCAATCCGAGGCTGGCGTTTATTCTCCATTCTCACCGCTTACTTCGAATGTTCTCTATCCCTTCGACCGTATGTGATGAAGTATTTGGGCGAAAACGCTGATGACCACAGGAGAGCTTATCACGGTTAGTCGAAGCAATTCCATTTTTTTAGTTACATAACAAATTTGGTAGAGCTTTAACTGAGCCCATTATTGCTAGGGTGAGAAAAAGGGTTAAGACGTGTCATCCATGGTGGAACCCTCGGACCTTATAACTTTATTCACAATCGCGTTTACGATTTTTCCCGATTTTTCGAGAAAGCTACTGGAGCTACTATCAAAAATTCATTTTTCTTAAAAACTGTATTTTATGAAGGAATTCGAACATTAGAACACTATTGCAACATTTCCGAAGAGAAGTCATCGCATGCGCCTAACGTAGTATGAGATAGAATCTTCGACTTTTGTTCATATTTTTAAAATGTCGCATCACAATGATTGGATAAACACGTAGTTTAGAAAATGCTTACTCAAAGGAATCTAGAAAATTTGTTGTAGGAAATACGCGACAAAAGCGTGGCAACTTCATTTTATCAAAAAAAAAATATGGCAGAGATTTATTAGTCTGCAAATCTCAAAATATCTGAGGATCTTTTGCTCTTTTCCTAAGAAAATCGCTATTATTACGGATTGACGCTAATGAATTTGTAATAACTCGACAACTTGTTTAAGGAACTGCTCAACTATGTCTGCAGAACTTGAATCAGACAATCCGTTATGGTGGACGAAAGTACTTACTTAGCGGAATGGAAGTAGAGGAGATCACGGTAGTTAACCTATCTATTCTCAAAGAAATAAGTCTTCTAAAATCGCATTACGTTTTTAGAATGGCAAGATCCACAAGCGGCAGAATTACTTCCTTCCCGGAGGCAGTACGAAGGTCGTGAATACCAAGAGCGTTACCGTAGTTGAAGAGGCGATCAGGGTAGGCTCCCGCTTAGATGTGTTGAACTCTTACACATAACTTTTATTCAAGGAACTTTGCTTGGAGCTGAACATCAGAAGTCCAGGAGAACAACAGGAATTCTGTCTATGTTATGTTCTTGACAAAGGTAGGAGAAATTTGTTATATTTCTTAAGGAATGGAATATTTGAAACAGTAATAGCATGTATTGACATAATTTACAGTGTAGTCCCATTCGCACGACCGTAATGCTGTCAGGGCATTTCCATATAGGACCGCAAACGCGCCAGACATATTCTGCGACTCCTTTTTTCTTAACAATTTACGCACTCAACAAGCTCTTTTCACGGACTCGTTCATTCTGCTAGTTGAGCGAATTATATTGAACAGTCAGCGCGTTCCTTGCTCCATTCTATTGGTAGCCTGACCAACCGCAGACGATGTGCCGACCAATCAGAGGCGAGAGCTATAGTGAGCGGTTCAAAAGGGCCGTTCTCGTGATGTTATAGAAGTGTCGTTTGCAGCTTATGATGGCATATTGATAGAGAATGGGAACTTGAATGCATGGCTGTTTTTCAAAAGCTTGTAATAGTGTCCAACATTGACGTGCTCCTGGCCCTGCTTTAAAATGTTTGACCCTAACCCATCATCCCGGGCAGTCTTTGATTACCGTTCTTAGAGGCGCTAACCTTCTTGCTTTTTCACGCTTCTATGAAATCAATCTGGTTCTTTCAGATCACCAGATCGAGTACTGCAATAATGGTGATTATATCCTTGATATATGCACTGAACTTGAACGTAAACGTCTACAATTCGACTTCATCTTGAGACGCTGTACATGGGTACATCCATTGCGACTAGACCATCCTGTCTATATCGACGTCATGTTCAATCAGGCAAGAAGACTGTACCATAATTTTTTGGCGAAAGTTAAAATGATTTAGGAAAGGGACTTAGCATACCTACATTCGTAACTTCTTTTTTTGTTGCAAAATTTGAAGTAATGATACTTCCTTCATCGAACTATAGGTCATTTATAAAGTCGTGACGACGGATTTGACTGCGGACTTTGCGCCCACACGAGCATAAAACGCTCATACAAAAAGATATCATCTCATAATTTAGCTCGCTCACTTTCATTGTCTTAATAGTATCATACGTAAGGAAAAAACCACTCGACTAGAGTGAAAGCTAAGAAAATGCTATAATCGGAGGTGGCGCGCGTGTAGCGCGCGGTCGTGCCATCGTCACGATTTTTCAAATGCCCTAAACATTGTCGATCTCCCATCGCTCTCTACATTATACTGTTTCAATCAGATAAGCGTTTTCGAGCTGCTTTTACCTCAGATGCACTTCAAAATGTTGCCACCAGAGTAAATTTTGTGAGCTCTGGGGATTTCAGAATCATATTTAGTAGTTATATAAATAAGATAAGATTACTTTTACCCCAGTCTTATCCTTCCCAACTAAATAGGACTCATTATTTTAGCCACTGATACGGTAATTTCTTGTTTGGTGCTGTGCTGCTTGACCATCAAGGCAGTAGCCACGCTGTAACCTAATCGAATCCTTGCTCTAACGCCAGTCAATCATGTACCATTCAAGCGCTTGTTTACTTCTACTAATATTTTGAACTTTGTCGCCTTCGTTCAAATGAGATTACCGCCCGCTATCAGACTGTTTCAACGAAATCTGTGAACTACCAGTGCAAATTTACTTGGAAAACGGTGCATATACATCTCGTGATTTTTGGAATAAAAGGAAACGCGTCTGACAGGGTAGTGAATGGTACATTTTGAGAATAAAATCGGCTTCGATCCGCCGTATATCCTCATTTCCACTTCACAGTCACATTGTTGAGCTCAGGAACCTCTAAGAATGCTCTAAAATATTGCTTGACGGCGATAATCAAAAGTTTTTTCTAACTGGGACAGCGGTATCTATCCTAATGACGGGATAATGCCATTGGACTCGGCCCGTATGATATTCTCCATTTGCTATTTCCTCAAAAATTTCTAGTCCATCTTTATACCTTTCCTGGGGTTTCATTTTCTAGATTTGGATTTTGTCCTTAAAGCAATAAGTTTTATGATTTGCAGTTTCAAACCTATTCAAGTATAGACTGTGTCTAAGCACACACTGCAATCCTTTTAGCGTTTAGGGAGCCTTGCAAAACAGATCCAAGCTTACTTTACTGCTAGGAAGTGTTTATGAATAAAAGCCATTGATGGCAAAAATCAGCGGAGAAAATTCGCTATCTAGGTTGTTCCCGACTACCTGGACGGCATGTTCGTCATGAGACAAGCTGCTGGACAAATAAGCGCTGCTACCGTTGAAGATATCAGCAAACTTGCTGCTTACATTCATCTAGCTGATAACGCAGCACGAAAAACAGCTGTAACACCGTAAGTGAACATTATCAGACGTAAAAAGCACTATCCTTCAAAGAATCTCGAACTTCTAGGAAGGTTATGGGTCACTTGCTTCCGGCAGCAGCACTTGAATATACTTCGTCTGACACATGGGCGAACAGGGTGAATCGACAACTGCGCACAATGAACTACCAAATGACAAGCACTCAAGCAAAGGCTGGATTCTTGGGTAGGTATAAACAAATAGATTTCGGTAAATACAGTGTTCCTTGCGGTGCCGACATTTACCAGCAACATTTGCGCGTGAAGAAATTGCTGCCCCTGTGATGCAGCAATTTGCGCGCAAAATGCCCGTAGCGCGCTGATTTTGGTTTTTGCGCTCCTCTAGCAATCTCACGCGCAAACGTTGTCGGCAAAGTCACGGCACGAAGTGCATCAAGTTATCTAAAATTTCTACATATTACTTTCATCAAGTGCTTCTAAAATTTCAGAGATTCTATCAAACTGGCAACTTTTTGGATGCACCGTATTTCGTCTTGAGGAGGCAACATGCGATGGACGTCTTCTGCACTCTACGGAGCTAGCTATCGGCAAGAATGGCGTAAAATTGTTGGAACCAAGAAGTCGGGAAACTCTTGAGCATTGGGAATACGACAAAGCACGCTATTATTTTGTTCCATACATGGAACATATATTGATTTGTTCCTTTTTCAGATAGTTTCCGTCAAGGGTGTAGGAAACGTTGTAGAAATGGTTGTTGGTACCGAAGATTCCAACAAAAAGTACGAATTCCACTCGAGAAAAGTAAGTTGTTTGATATATATCTTTTCTCCGGCCTGTACATTTACTTCTATCAAAATTGAAAAAAAATTTCAGAGCTGTTCCGCCATCGTTCGTCTCGTTGAACATTATACCGTCATCATCAAAGAAAGCCAAGGGACGCTGATGGATAAAATCTAAATGATCATTTAGTATGTAGATTGAATATTTATTTTCTTAATGTCTGAATTATCCTAGTGAGAAAAGTCAAAATATAATCGCTCTTAAAAAAGGTGCATTATGAACTGATGAAAGCAATGTTGATTACATATTTAACATTATGACTGTATTAGATTTGGTCATTTCGATTGAGTTCTTATTTATTTAGCGGAGCGAAAACGATGTCAATAAATATTGTTTCAAATATCTTTCTAATCTCGAATTTACGTTGCTCAAACGCGGTTTCTCCAAGTGTATTCTTTGGCAAGGTTTCAATCCATGTCGATTTAGCTAACTTAAGTAATTGCTAGCAGCTTGTCGATCATATATTTACTGCCTTCTTTTTGATTCAGCAAAATTTTGAAAGCATAACCCTCTAAACTTCCACCGAATAGCAGCACGCCTTCTTGGATCTCGGTCAGCTGTGGAACACCTTCAAAACCTGTACAACCCGATTTTTAATCAAATATTTGTATACTTTATTAGGTTGGCTAAAAAAGTTCCTTTTGGCATGCAAATCTTTCTTGTTGTTTTCTACCCATGATTTTTTGGAGAACGTAATTCAAAGATTCCTCTGTTACATATCAAACATCTAGGATTTTGTATCATCAGTAAAGACAGCTATGCCTCAACATGGCTAAATTTCCAATAGCTCAATTCTTTACTTTCTAAACTTCGTTTTCATGCTGTAATGGATTTAGAGAACAGCACTTCGGTATTTGGATACAGAGGAATTTCCCCTGTTTAGTGAATAACGATGCAAATTGTGATCTGCCACTATGAAAATATTTTATTAAAAAAAAATTTCCTCATATTTGTGCGCTTTGAGAAAAATGCGGATTCTCAATTCTTTGCGGATTTTTTTCTTTGCTAGGTAAGTTCCACTCAAACATTATTTACAGTCTAATTCCCATCTAAGTGCTCTTTCCAGAGATAAAAAAGACTAAAAATTTGTCTGCAGATTTGTAAGAGCCGCAAAAGCGACCGAACTCATCTATTAGCCAACCTAATATTTAAAGAGTTCAAACATTGTACTCTCTCATATAATAGTGCTTCCTCTGAAGACTTCTGGCTAGTAATCTGAGGCACCTTGGAAGATGGCGTAAAACGAGACGTTGTTTTGAAAAAGAAACAGTTGGAACATTAGGCGGTTAGCGGGTCCTGAAAAAGTTTTTACATGGGTTACCACTTCTAAAATGCTGTGCTCTTCGTCGAAAATTATCCGGCTTAGACTATCAGAAAATCTTGCGAGCTTCTGCGAAAAGTTCTTGCCTCTTTATGTATGAAAATTAGTATTTTTTATTTTCTTTTCCAATCTATTTTTTTCTCTTCTTCGCATTTACAGGCTCGAATTTGCTAGTAAGTTTACATACACACATTGCTAGAAAGGGAGATTGTACTAATGCTGATATCCTCGAAGAATTTCGTCAAATTTGATGTTTTCACATTTCGCAAATCTGAATGATTTGCTTATCCCTCTAAATCATGTTCAATCGCCTTTAATGAGTACGCATATGTCAACAAATCATGGCAGGAGGAAATAGAAAAATTTGCAAAAATTATGCATCTGGTCAAGACCTACTCGCCCGTTTTGGTTTTCGGCTAACAATAAGTAAACTTCAGAGCCTAATGTTCAACAATAACAAATAGTTTAATATAGTTTTATCTGAAGGTAAACAATCTGAGATTCATTGCAATGTGACCAACTAGAGGTACTTCATAAGCTAAACTTTACAATATGTAATTGGCAAGTCAGTTATTTCAAATGAAACGATAAGGAAATGCATAGAGAGATGGGTAGGAGAGCTGCAACGAGGAAATAATAAGTTATGACACTCCCAGACAACTAAAAAAAATTGGGATATGGATGATTTGGAGTGCATGCACTCAACACTGTCAATGAGTAGTCGAAATAAGAAACAAAAAAAAATAAAACGCACATCGATTTCTACCCAAATAAAATTCTATTAAAAATGTGCTTATTCAAAAAAAAAGATATACCTAGAGCAATATTCGCTGAAAGAATCGCGCGCATATGAAAGTTCACCAAAGATCGCAAATGTACTGAGGGTTTCTCAATATTCAAATTTTATGGCCCTATTTTTGGACGAGAAGCTGATAAAACAACTATCTGGGCATGACTAGCTGCTGCAGGCAAGTATACTGTATATATTGCGTTATTAAAGGACGCCATCTATACTGCTAATGGCTGGACTTTAGACTCAGAGATAGGCCGGCTGTTCCGGTCTTAAGGCTTGTACCCGACGTATGTACTCTGATTCACGGAAGAAATCGGATTGGAAGGAATTATGGCGAATTGTCGACATCCCTGCAAGCAATTTTGGGTGGTCTTTTTTTCCACGAAAATTTTTTGATCTACCTGATGATGTCTCATCTATAAACCGTAATTTCATGAGAAGCTCATGCGGCTCGAATGGTCGATCGCGCAGTTCATTATCGAGGAAATCCCGAACATCATTCCACGTGACCTGAAACGGGAATTTTTTTCTCTGAATTTAAAATTCATCACAAACCTTTCCGCCTTTCTTTCGTCGCATTGCACCCAGCAGCGCAACGATTTCCTTCAACTCCTCGCTCATACCCAGAAACCTGAAATGAAAATGGTAAAGGAGCTAGGTTACGGTAAGGTAACGATTGGTACCTCTTTGCTCGCCCAAAGTAGTGAATTCTGGTAAAGTAGGCCTTGAGATGAGTCGAGGCCAAATCGACGCACATAGTTACTACGGAAAGACCTGAAATAAAACAAAATGTACTTTTTGCTTAAATCCGCGAAATTATACTTTGAAAAAATTCAATTTGCTTACCAACTATAACGAAGGCGACAATGAGCGAAAGAAATATATAGTCTTTAACAACGATGTCTCCCAATCCAACAGTTACAATTAAATTGAAACCAAAGTGAAAGGCATGAATGAAAGACCAGGTCCTAAATCACATATCTTTTTGAAAAGATTCCTATGTGGTCCCGCACAGCACAAATAAGAAATGCTTGACAGCTTTGAGTTGAAGCATACTCACCGTTCCCAATTTATAAACATGGCTGATCCCATAGAGCAATATAAACAAATGCAGGCAACATAGGCTCCTAAAGGAAAGAATTTTTACTTTATCCTTTTTCTTTCCTTTCGCTTTTTCTTTTCTCAGTAAATCTTTTTTAGGTATAACAACTAGCTTTGCAGACATTTGGGTTTTTGTGAAGACTCTAAATGAACGAAAAATTCTGATGTTGTTCTTCAGAAGTCGGGTTCTTGGTTTCTGACACGAAAGGCGTAAAATCTAAACTACGAATGTAACTAATAGACTAGATTATACATGGACAGCGATTACAGATGGTTTATATTTGTAAAATAAGAGGTATAAATCAGTCAAATTCTAGCCGTCAAGTTTTGCAAATCCATAACATCACAGCTAACTAAAACCACACCCTCACCAAACCGTACACCTACAGTATGCTAGGCGAATGGCGCCAGCTTTGTAAGTTTTTGTATTATTCCCAACTAATAATATTCTATAGTAGGGCTTACCAATTGGAAACCACAGCTTTTCTTCAGTACCATCAACACCTAAGATATCCAAAGTGTCCGTGTTTCCGTTGGATGATTGCATGGACTTCCGTCGACCATGGCGACTGCGATAAATCCACTGCTATAACATATAGACTATAGCTTTTGAGCAGAGAGGAAGATCTGAATGCTAATTACAAAGAGGAGGAAGAGGATCACAAAAGATTTTTTACTGGATTAGATTTGTACAGAGTTGAAGAATACAAGCTATTTGTAATCGTGAAAACTCGAGATTATTGCGACTTTTGAAAAGTTCTGATTTCAAAATGCTCATTTATTAGCTGGAAAAACTTCATTACAAACGCTTTAGTAAAATTTTGAAGTTTGAATTTTGAAGAAAATTTTCATGGTTTAGCATACTATACGTAGAAAAGGTATTTGTAAAGCTGGATACCGTATATTACCACTAGTTACGGTATTACCTAGTACGGTATGCCGTAACATGAGATGATATGGCATGCCAGTTAAGTGTACAAGGCAGCATTTGATTCTCTACTCCTAATTGTACCATGTATTGTCATAATAGTAAGAGGGGGGGGGGAAGATGAGTTTCATAGAATGTAAGAGGGCCTCTGCCTCCATGAAAGGCTCAGGAAGACGACCAAAATGGAACCAGCACCAACAGAGCAAGCTTCAAAGAATTATTTATAGATTTTTGACGCAAATTTGCAGAATAATAACAACTATGTGATATGTAGATTTCAATAGCTTACCTTAACTTTCCGCGTCATTCTATTCCAGTTGCTAACAAATTTGAGCAATGTTTCTGAGAGAAATTTGCCGATATCGGCAGCAGTGATGAACATGAGCGGAATACCAACAAGTGCAAATACCACAGCAAAAACTTTTCCAACATCCGTATCTACCGATACTTCACCGTAACCTAAGAAAAAAATATTTGCGATTACTGTAGCGATGACTTTGGTTCGATTTTCTGAGTCAATGGCCCTTTTGAGCGACATAATCAAGATTGACGGATGATTTTTGTTACATATTTGTCTCTTTAAAAAAATTACAAAAGCAGCTCAGATCTGTTCCATATCTACGATGATAGGACTATGTGAAGGCGTATGATGGATGGCGTAAATGCACCCATAGTCAGCAACTTTACGAAAATTTCAAGACCTAAAATTGTCACTTTTTTGTATAATTTTCGTCTGTCGCCTATCAAGCACCTTACTCCTAGAGTTTTTGTTTCTAGACATTGTCTCTCTCTTAGTGCGCTAGTCTAAAGCCTTTAGCGTCTCAAAAACGAAAGTTGAAAAAATAGCAATGTTTAATAGTTCTTGAATTCTCTATTTTCTATGAGAGTGTAGAAACTGATGTGGAAAACTTACACATTCCGAAATTTTTTTAAGAAGATTTGCTTGGCAGAAGCTAACAAAATGCAAAGATATGAAAGAAATCATCCTTTTCAAACGAACGCCATCAGGGCTCGGCACAGCTGGCACCGGGTTAAGCTGAATATCGGTTTTGGGACAAAAAGTAAAGGGGATACCGACGTTTTTTATCAGCGTTTCGTTTTTTGAAGTGTTTTTTACGTTTAGGGTTTAGGATCAAAGGAGACTTCGTTTTGAAATTTCCCTAAAACCAGCTTGTGCCAAACCCTTATAGCGGCTCTCGTATATAAGTTACAAAGGTATAAGGCGATGGCTTACCACATGTGGTGAGCACAGTAAGCACATAAAGTAACGCTGTTGGAAACGTCCATTTATTGTGCATATTTTCCAAGTCGTCCGGTCTATTCAATTCTTTACGAATCGGACGCCGATCATCCACAATTTCCGAAACAGATATCATCCATTCCCTGCAAGAAGATTGTTAATTGAGTTTGATTTTCTATCAATAATTTTCTGTTTTGTTCTCTAATCTTTACGGAATCAGATAGAGATTGTTTTGGAACGCTGCGTGACATAAAACATTATACCCTTGAGGGTGGGATTGCTGCACTTAGTGCGCGGATCACTGGTAAATGCAAGTTAACTGTACTTTTGGGTTCAATTACCGTACCCAGCATAGAACTTTGGTCCAAAGTGACCTAGTCTAGGCCAGATTGATGCATAAGTCCCGCGTACTTTGCATACTCAATTAGTTGACGCCAAAAATGGCCGTGCGCCTTGTTGGGCTCGCGGGTAGCATCAAAATGGAAGTAATGCATGCGGAGCGCTTAATCTTTGTCGGACTTCGAGCAGCCCGCGCATCAACATCCAAGGCCCGTAGCAAAATCAAGTTTCGTGAAGAAGAAAGTTGAGTTTCACAAGGACTGAGTTTGAGCAATAGACAATAAGGAAAACTTTGAAAATTTCTCAAGAAAAGATCAAGGGATGCTGCATTAGGTGGGTCCTAAAATTCGTGCCGTTTTTTGAAATTAGTGTTCAATCATAACCGATCTTTGGAAGGCCCAACTTTCGAAGATTTCGTGGTGTTTGAAGCTTCTGTTTGTTTCACGACTTCGCAAATGTGAAGACTTTTGAAAAACTTAACTGAAAAGCCAGTCATCGATGCTAGAAAGTGGTTTCGTAGCATATTATTTGCCCTGATCAACTATTGTCAAAGCTTTTTCGAAATTCCAAAACGAAATTTTCAAAGAATAGTCAAGTTTAGGGTACGTAAAATGCATGAGTTAGAGATCGAATATGCGAAAGAACATTGAAGGAATCCGAATAAACATCACTGCTAAAAAGGGAGAGAAATTCTGCATAGAATACTTCGTAGAATGTTTGTCTATCTTGTTGAATGTTTTGAGGATTGGTCTGAAAAACGGCACGAACTTTCGGACCCATCTAATATGATAATTTTTTGCATAGACGTGAAAGAGAAGTATACAATACGTATGCGCTAAAAAAAGTACATATGTCTAAGCAGAATTCCTCCGTAATGGTGTGCAATTGCACATTTTCAAAGATGAGGTTGCCCATAATAAAATATACTCTTTCGTGTGTTTCTTCTTTCTTCTTTCTTTGATTGAGTTGTATTTGGGCGTAAATGATTACATTATTTATTTTCTTTACGAAAGGCCGGCGAATCACCAAAACTGAGAATTGTGTAAATGCACAATGCACATCTACGGAAGTTATTACAGTAATACAAAAACAGCTATACACGCTGATTGGCGCGTAGAAGCTCGATTATAGCTCTCAACTACAGCACTCGTTAACAAAGGAAAAAGTGAGATTGCAGCGCTTTCATATTGTAAAATAGTCGAAAATGTTATGCATATGCAAGTGTTAACCAGTAATGTTTAAACGTCTGAATTTTTGTATGAGACTTCTCACTTTTCTCGCAACAACCAACAATATCATTAGGTTTGTTGTGCTTTTTCCCTAATCTTTACGGTTGCGTTACTTATCAGATATTTTAGTCCGTGTGTGTCCAGTATTTTTTGTCAGGTTTCTAAAACCTCCATCTGCTTCACAGACAGCTAGTTCAACTACAGCATCTTTTCTACTAAAAACATCGAACTCTAGGAAGTACGCCAGCAGATAGAAGAGAAAAACTAACGATCGAATTTTTTTCTCTAACTCACACTTTTTGAAAAAAAAAATAGCGCAGCTGCTAAAGCAAGAAACCCATGCATTTGAAATAAGAGGAAAAGTTATAGATCCAGAAAATTTACCGAAATGTCACTACCCATTCTTGTTCGTCCACTACTCGAATACCATGCTGTGCATCGTTCAACATTCGCCAGCTATGTTTGGTGAAATTCATCATAGTGTTTGTAAGGCTATAAAAAAACCATATTTATGAAGGAACAGGTAGCAAATTTTCCTATATAGCTTACCGTGTAAGCTTCTTCGATCTGGCTTTAAGTTCGGTCTCAGTCTCTAGAAGCATCAAAATCCAAGCTCCTAAGCATAAATAGCCGATAAGCACAGCTACAAGGATCACATGGGGTGTGAGGATTTTGATATACTGAAAAAGATACATTTTTGAAGTTCAATCACCTTTTTGATTTACACTAACATTCTCATTTTATGAACATGCTCATTTTAAGTATTATCTCGCTTTTTCACTTTTGAAGCTTTTCGATTTTCAAAGATTCAAAGACTAATTTTTGTTAGCACTTATAAATGCATGCGGCGAAATCGTCATCGCCTAACTAGAAAATTAAAAAGTGTTTGGAAAGATTTTTGCCGTTTCTTAGTTTCCTACAACTGAAAGAGAAACAACTTATACTGTTAAAAATTCTATTTTGAAGAATCTATGAGCCTCCGACGGTTTTCTGGTCTTGTTTATTTTAATTTTTATTATTTTGTTTTGATATTATTATTCTATTTTTCATTCTTTATTGTTTTTACTCGATTTTTTATTCTGATTCAATAATGTGCGTTTTTTCATCTATGCTGATGGTCGCATTTTATAAAACAAGAAAGTATCGAAGAAAAATCTTCCTTGATAGGCAAAGGCATTTGCAAACCGTGATAAAACTTCGGGGAGAACCAAAAAAATTGTAACAAGGTAAGACAAAATGTTACCTAAACAGTAACCTCAGGTCGGATTTTTATGATTTCTTAAATACGTTTTTAACATTTAAATTTCCCTCTCTGCTTTACATGATAGCTACTTCCTGCTCGTCGAGTGCAAGGTGTATACAAGGCAAAATCATGTCGATCTTTTGTTGGGGCTAAATATGGATATCGCCTAGGGACTTACACGTCGAGTGTATTGACTCTGGCCTTTTGGCATCATTCACATCATACATCTACTTTTACACATTTTATGCTATTAAAGGACGTATGTAAAAGAAGCTTAAGGCTCAAGGTAAAAATTACAGGTGTTCGAGGGAATAACTTGTTTCAAAAAGGAGCGAAATCAATAGAATGATTACATTGTAGGTACACTAAACCTTAGGGCAGAATTCTCAACAAAATTCAAGCCTAGCCTTACTACTGTTTCCAAAATCTGAAACATATAGTAACTGCTACGAGTTGATTTATTGTTCCCAAGGGAGTAAAAGTCGACGAGCACAAATTCTCAGGACAATAACGCATTCGGGTATGAACGAAGATTGAGAGCCGAAACGACATACGGAATTCACTTGAGAACAATTAACGTGAATTCGGACAAAGTTTGCTGAGTCCTACGATGCTATAGCTTACGCTGAGTTGGATTATTATATGTAGAGTAATAAATAGCTAATCAAAGATGCCGCACAGATTTTTTGCCGCAAAAATTCATATAAATACTCATTACCCCTATACAAACTTACTTTCTCTTAAATACAAGTTTTACAGACCTTCCTTCCTTACTGAGGAGTTCCAAGGAAAGTCTGTAAATATTTTTACTCCGTCTAAGGGCAGGAACGAAACGGAGCCTTTTGGTTATTCACACATTGTAAATTAAAAACTTTTCTTCTTATTATTATTAGAATTCATTGCCTTATATGTTGGCCAGAAAAGAGCACAAAATCATCAAAATTTTTTGTGGAGATAATATATAAGAATAAAACCAGGCTTGAGATCATCTATCAAGAGAAAATGTCGAGGTGCAGTAGGACATACAACATTATATTTATGTTGAAAATAGGAATGAATACGAAAATTTTGTTTTATACTGTAGCAATGAATTGAAAAGTGTATTATAAATGTTTTCAAAACTATGCTTTTTTATCTCTGCTTTATTTCTTTTCTAAAATTGAAAACAAACTCTTCGGGCTATCTCTGCAATTTCTCAATGATGAGGAAAAGCCCGGAAAAGGTATGTTTCATTATTTTGTGGTTTTTTGAGAAATTTCATTCAAAACACAAGTTAATAAATTCAAAATACCTTAACAGTTTGCTGTGGACAACTTTTCGGTTCTTGCCGTTCTTGGTCATCTTTAATCGTATCAGTAATGACAGTAGCACCATCATCAGCGTCGATTAGGGCTGACTGGGAATTCAAAGGTACACCTTCCCATCTGGCTGTTACGTGATCTGAAATAATAAAAAAAATCTGTGCATAAGGAACCTCCACACCATGGTCCCTAAACACTCACCCGCACTTACAACCCCTGAAGTTTTACTCTGTAATATTTCGTCGCCAAGGCCATGTAAAAACGCTTGTTGCGTCCTGTGCGGCGCAACGTCTTGCCCACCTGATTATTTCGGGGCATTTTGTGATTTTAATTTAGAATTATTTTTTGAGGAATATCGGTGATCCATAGCGCTCAAACTGCCCAAGGAGCCCAAGCTTTCCGATAAGTCAGTCGCAACGAAAGAATAGGACCCGTTGGACGCTAGATTATAATAGAGTTTGCACGCGGAACTGGAAGTATAGGCCATAAATCCATTTGTACTCATACTCTCCTCCCCCCTTTGAAGGTTGATAAATCCATTTTAGGATGGTAAATGTTGCAACTGAAATGGACATATAGCCATTTTAAGAATTATCCTGCACAAGTTATTTTGACTTAGATCAAATAAGTAAGACAACTTTTAGAAGTGCATACTACTCAGGATTCCGAAATGAAGTCTTCTGCTAACTTCAGATAAGATTAAATAAGTACAAAAAGAGTATTTCCCGAAATATTTACATTCTGGTCACCCTCAAATTACCCATAGTCTCACTTAATCCTCATCTAATGCTCCAGAAAAAGCATGGCAGGGAAAGCTACGAGAATAACATAAGTTCAGAAGTAAAAATATTGAAAGTAAGTCTAAAATGACCTATAATAATCTTTCCATCCTCCTGTATTGAGATCGTAGGTCGACGAAGAAAAATCTTCTGTCGACTGGCTCTCCGTACATCTTTTGTGGAAAATACGGAAGATATAGGAGATGCGCATACATCTAGTAAATCCTGTGACTGTGATTGTAGCTCAGGGCGAAGGCTCAGTGTGAGATTACGTTGATTATCAACTCTTAATTCTTCAGGAAAATGTCGTAGCAATTCTTGAGCTTCTATGGTAGCTCGCCGGGATAGAAATTCGGGAATTTGGTACGAAAGTCTGGTGTCAAGGTGACCAACATTAAGCTGAGCAGTATGGGACAGGGTAGGTCGACGCAGAAGGCCGGGTTTCGCGTTTGGCGAGTAGAAGAACATCGCCTACGTGGGTCCCGACAAGCGTGTGAGTCGATTTAATCCCGAAAGGAAATGAGGTGTGGGGCTTCTTCAGGCGGGGGATTTCGAGGGAAGCGTCAGAAGGGGGCGGGCTTATCATATGCGAGCTTGCTACCAGCATAATCAGAGGCCCCGAGGCTCGCGTCGTCGGCGGCTCTGAGGTCAAGTGAGACGCGCGCGCCTCGACTCAAATCAACTCTCGTCTAGATTGTTGGAGCTCAAAAAGAGCCACCTTTTACATCTCTCGCACAAAATGGCCATGTGTTCTCGCTAAGTAAGACACAAAGAATGGATGAAGTGGATAAATAGCTCTCGCATTCTGCATCTCAAGTCTTGCTCCCGAAGAAGCACTGCACTTTTCCCAAACATCCAAGCTGCCCACTCTCTTACTAATAATGCTTATTGCTCAGGGACAATTAGAAGTGTACACTCAAGACCTAACAGCCCTCGATATAAGTGCCATTCCGCTGTGTGTTATGAAGACAATAAAGGAATGAGCTCTTTAGGCGTTCGCTTCGAGTTTTGCAAATAAGGCTTGCAAAGCAGGAGACATCGAGGAGCGAAGGGACCGTATCCAAGAGATTTTGGACACATATGCAAGTGGATAAGTAAGTAGGACCGAAATCAAGTGACAAGTGAGGTCCGTTAGTTGAAGTGACCTTTCCAAATGAGCTTATCCACTTTGAAAAGTATCGGTGATTCCAAATTTGATTTCATTGTCTGCCAAGCGCCTCTGCATGTAGAGTTATGAGTATTTTATTTAGTATCAATATTTATATTATATTTAATATTCAATATTTATTTTTCAATATTTTTTATTTTTTATTTTTCAGTACCTAATATTTATTTATTTATCTACTTTTCATAATTTATTCAATATTTTTCAGCTCAAAAAACGCTCTAACTCGACGTCCAGAGGCGATTATGAAGGCAGATTTGGAATCAGAGTTCGATGCTCTTTATAGTCGTATCAAATTCAAGTGAAAAGGCAATTTCGACCAAATAAACCTTTCTTATGAGATTTACTTACGGAAAATTATTTTTGTTTCTACATTTGCAAACAATTTCACTAACTGCACTTAGAGGAGTGCCAATAAGAAAAGTAATACGACACTCTCTCACAAATCTTTGTAAATAGCAATTGTGGAAAGTTCAGTCCAGCTTTAGCTTGATTTCCAGCGAAGAAAAATTTTTTAAAAAGCAAAGTTTTTTATTATTTTAATCGATATTCAGATAGAACTTGAATTTTCATCTATTGATTTATTACAGGTCATAAGCCATTCTCAGCGGCGAGCAGAAACAGCTTTACAAGAATGTGATTTTGATGTGAAATTTTAGTTGCAGAATGATATACGCAAGCCTTAAAATTTAAACCTGAAATACTACAAAGTCTCGCAGCATCAAAAGCTTTATGTTTCACTTCGAACTGATGTGATTTCCCCTACAAGTATAAAAACTGCAGTATGGCTGGCAATTTTTCCATCATTGGCGACAGCTTATCAAGGTTCGGCTGATGCACGAAAAACTCTATCTTTTCTCCCAAAACCAAGATTTTAAAGTAAGCAATTAAGTATGCATGAAAATAGACCAATCTCTAGATTCATATTGCTTCTAGCAACCAAAATCCACTAAAACTCTGATACTAGCTTTCTTATTTTCCCGAAATAGAGACGCAACTTGATCTTTCATCTCAGCTGTCTTGTTCGTACTTTCTAAATCATTCCTAGTGTTCAAGATTGTGAGTTCGTTTCATGAATAACTTGTAAGAGATATTTTCAGGAGACAAGACTTAGCACAGGCTTCAAAGTTCGGTTATTATTGCTAGAAAAAAAGATCACAAAGTCCTGGTTCTTTTTTTGGGAGGAGATGGTCGGAATCAGGAGAAAAATACAGAAAAATGCAAAAAAAACCTCATTTTTGCGATTTTTTGCTACTTTCACAAAAACAGTAACTTTGAAAAGCTCGATCAGCACAATGTTGGAACCACCAGAAAGAACAGGTCAAAAAACCTGTAGGAAACATGATCTCAGCTTTTTCTGCAGCGCAGATTTTTGACAATTTATTTTCGAAAATCACGAGTTTGAGTGGTTTTCCTTTGGAGTTTTTAACTCTGGAGTCCTTTGCCGTCAAAGAGCAGCGAAAATGTGATTGGAAAGTAGAAGAATTCCATCTGAGAGTATTTTTTGCAAATCAATATGTTCACATAGGGAGCAGTTACGAATTTTTCATAATCAAAGCGAAAGAACTTTCGGTTCAAGCTAATATATAGTAAGAAGAAAGATATTTCTTCAGCTAAAAAATAGAAATTTGTTGCAACTCACAATGTTATGCAGACGTAAGAATTTTCTAGTTATATCTAGGAAATATGCGAGGCTTAGAGAAATCCATCAAACAAACACAAACCTTCACACTGAGTGAGCAGCTGTAGTACATCCAAATGTCTCGGTGAGATCATCACATGCTAGAAGCGAATGTCGAAATGCATATCGTATGCATGAGACACTTCTGACAGGGGGTTTAGTACAGATGTCAGGTGTGTTTGAGCGAGAACTTTCGAAAGAAAGTAGTTCGCAGAGCAAAGTCAAAGTCAGACCTTGTCGGGAATGAGAAGATTTTCGGGGGAAAATCCGAGGGACAGAGCGGAGAAAAAAGGAAAAGTGGACAAAGTCGTCAGCGGTTAACCGACGCTTAGCACAGAATGGCAGAGTCGCTAGGCCTCGATCATAAAAAAGCACAATAAACGGATAGCAACACGAATGCGCTCTGAATGGGCACTACATCCTATCAACCTTTCAGTCTAGAAAAGAGATTTTCTTGAGTTTGAAAGACTATTTTAGAATTTGAGCTGTTAATAGCTAATTAATAAAAAGCACGTAAAACTAACCCATTGACGACAATGCAATTTTAACCATGATTTTAATAATTGCTTATCAACTGATAGTGATCTGGCGAAAGTCGAAACCTGAGGAGTTGAAAATCAGCCCAAGTAGTAGTAAAATGAAAAATGACTAAATTTTTCGAAAGTGCTGTGGACCACCGGTGGCCCACGCTGTCGTCATTGGTTTGAACTTGACACTGTCAAGGTGAGATTGACAGCTTGACAAACCGTCAACTTGACAGCGATAAAAGCACATCTGTTTGTTTCTTAATCCTTAAAAAAAACTTTTTTGTATGGCAAAAGTTGTTTTCATCCAAGCATTAAAAAACTTCGCTTAAATAAGAATATAAATCAAGAAGGCAATTTAAACTCTTACAATAATAGCGATCCATTGAAGCAACAATTTTGCTCAAACAAACTCAACTTACAGCAGGAGGAATCGCCCGCAGAAAAAGATATTTACAAAAGTATAATGACAATATTTTCATCAGAAATCTTCACAAAACAAAACTGAGCTCTTTCTCCTCACTGAGGAGCCCCGGAGAAAAAAAAATAAAAAGTCCTTTTAGGAAGGACGACACGGAAAGAGAGAAGTTTGTCACTATTTATTTTTTCAAGAACTTTGGATGGTACCGAATTTATACTTATGGGTCTGAATTTAGTAATGTCATAGTTTATATTCGATATTTTCAAGACTCATAAGTGCACTCACAGAGCGATGAAGCGAAAAAACAGCTTTGCCCTAATGTTAAATAACAGGAAAAAGGAACTACATATAGAGCTCCACCTATTCGAAAAGCACCACCAGTACTACTGAAACCAGCATTTGCCAAAAAAACGAACATTTTCCAAGCATTTTTAAGTGTATATACAATACACATAAGCAGCCAATACGATGTATTTCCTTGAGGAGATGGCGGTGAGCAAAGACTATATACTGGCAATGTGCATGCACGCAATGGAAGGTTGACTATATGAAAAAGTACACGGGCTGCAAAAGACATTCACCAATCGTAAATAATTTGAAGATTAACCAGCAAAAGTACCTTGACCACAAATAAATCATGAATAATACATGGGGGGCAAAGGAGAGTGTGTTGCGCTGCGCATATTGCAAAACCAGGAGAATGGAGATCATCTCGCGTCATTAGCTTTGCTTCGAAGTCTCGAAGTTT